CTAGTTGTTATATTGTATTCGGGGATTTAATCCATTCAAAAACTTGGCGGCAGTTTCTAATAAAATGCTCCGCTGGGGCGCAGCTTGATACGACCGCAGAGGTCGAACCCTGAACAGTTGGGGCAAGTATGGACACAACATTCAAGCTTGATTCAGCACTGAATTTGGATTGTAATTTAATATTTGACACAGGATAGGTTTCTGACACAGAATGAATGTGGTCTAAGAGCTTAAAAAATTTTAATTTACCTATTCAAACCATATCATTATTATTTGCTTTTATATATAAATCAGAAATAACCAATTTAAAATGGAAAATTTTAAAGAAAAAAAAGGAAACCCCCCCCCCCCCCCAAATTTTTTGAACCCCTTTATGATTCATCACCCCCAAACTCAATCCCAGCCTTCCCTTTGTGGTAAAGTACCTTGCAGTACAATTTCAGAGAGATCCATACACTTGAACACAAGTTATTGTCTGGAAACTAGAAAAATGCTTGTTTTTTGGCCCCTTTTTGGCCCCAAATTCCTAAACGTTTAGGGCAATTACCCCCAAACTCAAACCCAGCTTTCCCTTTGTGATATGGAACCTTGTAGTACAATTTCATAAAGATCAATACACTTACAGACAAGTTATTGTCCTGAAACTAAAAAAATGCTTGTTTTTTTGCCCCTTTATGGCCCATAATTCCTAAAATTTTGAGGCAATTACCCCCAAAATCAATCCCAGCCTTCCCTTTGTGGTATGGTACCTTGCAGTACAATTTCAGAAAGATCCATAAACTTGAACACAAGTAATTGTCTGGAAACTAGAAAAATGCTTATTTTTGACCCCTTTTTGGCCCCCTATTCCTAAACGTTTTGGGCAATTACCCCCAAACTCAATTCCAATTTTCCCTTTGTGATATGGAACCTTGTAGTACAATTTCATAAAGATCCATACACTTACACACAAGTTATTGTCATGAAACTAGAAAAATGCTTGTTTTTTGCCCCTTTTTTGCCCCTTATTCCTAAAATTTGGAGGCAATTACCCCAAAATCAATCCCAGCATTCCCTTTGTGATATGGAACCTTGTGGTACAATGTCAGAGAGATCCATACACTTACAAACAAGTTATTGTCATGAAACTAGAAAAATGCTTGTTTTTTGTCCCTTTTTGGCCCCTAATTCCTAAAATTTGGAGGCAATTACCCCCAAAATCAATCCCAGCATTCCCTTTGTGATATAGAACCTTGTGGTACAATGTCAGAGAGATCCATACAATAACACACAAGTTATGTCTGGAAGTTACAAAAATGCTTATTTTTGGCCCCATATTCCTTAACTGTTGGTACCATAACCCCCAAAATCAATCCCCACCTTCCTTTTGTGGTATTGAACCTTATGGTAAAATTTCATAGAGATCCATTCACTTAAACTAAAGTTAGAGTGCGAAAACCAATATACGACCGCAAAATTTTTTTGCGGTCTTATAAAAATAGAACATAGGGGTCAAATGAAGTTTTTGGCTTTCATCTCAAAAACTAAAACACTAAGAGCAAAACTGACATAGGTGAAAGTGTTAAACAGGTTTAGATCTACCTGTCAAGTAATCTTCAGACCAATAGGACAACTTATTGTTGGTTTACTGTCCAGAAATAGTTAATTTTTAGGAAATTTTACAGTTTTGGGTTATGTATTATCTTTAATATTATTATAGAAAGAGAGAAAGTGTAAATTACAAAATTGTTCAGCAAAGTAAGATCTACAAATAAGTCAAATGCCTGAAACCGAAATTACAGGTGAGTGATATCAGGCTGTCATGAGCGGCTGTGAGCCTCTTGTTTTTCTATCTATTATTGTTTTGTCGATAATTGCCTAACAGGGGTAAAAAATTATCATCTTAGATCAATAACTCTTTCAAGGAGTTGATTGATAATACCGGTCATGTTGACTTATCGTAGATCTTGATTTGCTGATCACTTTTTTGCTGTTTACAGTTTCTTTCTGTTTATTCAAGTTTTCAATATGATTACAAAAACATTAACAAGAATGCACACACTGATATGTCTTGCCTATTTTGCTGATCATGCGGATGTCAGATATATATAATGTATGTTGAAAATCTTTAAGATAAAGGTTTTACTTCACTTGAAGGATCACATACTAAATTAACAGTACCAATAATCCATGTCAATGAGGTCAACTTAGATGAACCCTGCCGGACAAACATGTGACACCTTACAATTCTTCCATACACCAAATATTGTTAACATATTGCTTATAGTACCTGAGAAAGCGACCTAACCAAGAAATTTTAACATTGACCAATGAATCATGTTAATGAGGCCAAGGTCAAATGAACCCTGTCAGACAGACATGTACACCTTATAAGATTATGCCAGACAATAACCTAAACGTGAAAAAGAAGAGGAGTGTGGATACTCTTTCTGAATTGGTTAAGGCTTGTTTTTTGTTTAGTACCCTTTGGTCTGCCATCCTAAATCTCTACATCTTAATTGTAGATGTGACATCATTGAATTTTGTGTACCTTGAGCCAAAGAGGAATGTCATTTGGGGGCATGGATCCTAACCTTTGCACAGGTCTTTGGTCTTACATAATAAAAGTTAACAACATATATGTGACACCTAAGAACCCTGAAAAGTCCTAATGACAGCCTTTAAGGAAGCATGATGTTGACAAGTTGTTTTAGAGTACACACAATGACAACATGCTGCAATCTTGATATAGAGGGATGGATATCATAAGCTTATTTGCTACGTGCAAACCATAAATGAATTGACAGTTATAGTTTCTTTATATGTTGAAATTAAACAAGTTGGACACAACTGTTTAAATTTACCACAGAAGTTAAATAGTATAAAAGGTTGTATTAGTATTTTGAACATCTGTATGTGTTAATTTTTTATTGTCTTTACAGGTTATCCGACAGGAATTGTACCGTAACATTGCTCTGGCTGCAGTTTGTGTATTTATCATCTGTCTGGTTCTCATAGCCAACATATGGACTAGTTTGATGGTATTTTCCTGTGTTGCATTAACTTTTGTAAGTTCAGGTCATTTTTTCAAATTAGAACTAAAAATCTGTATGGATCTATGACCAAAGAATCATAGAGATTCGTTCACTTATACTCAAGTTATTGTCTGGAAACCAAATGTCTTCGGACGACATTAGGGGTCATTCATAATTGTCAACCATTTTCCAAAGTGTACAAAACATACACTTTTTCAGACCCCCACCCTCCTTCAAAAAGTGTACATCAACCATTTTCAGATTTCAAGACAAGAATCAATCATTCTTAATAAAAAGAAGATCCTGTCTATTATAGTTTAATTTAATATAAAAATTTGCATTGAAAATAAACTGAAACATATCTGACATAAATTCCGGAAATAAAAAAAAGCGTACGGTAAAAATGTTGATTTTTTAACCCCCTCCCCCCAAGTGTACGTTTTGTACACTTTGGAAAATGGTTGACAATTATGGATGACCCCTTACCATATCATTATACAGCAGCAATTTTTTGCAGTTGTATAAAAACCATTAGACTTTTCTACCATCAGCACCAGTATTTCGCATTCTAAACTTAAAAACAGATTGAAAAAATATCTGTATCACAGATGACCACGAATATGTTCCAATTATCGTAACCATAATCCTGTCCTCTTTTTCTCATAGAGCAGAATCTGCTTACCCTTTGAGAGCACCCCCAATTTTTTGTTGGTTCCTGTAGCTCAGTCTTTAGTTTTCTATGCAGTGTTTTGTGGACTTGCTTGTCATAGTTTTTCGTTTTTTGCCTATATCTTGACTTGAGTTTTGAATTTTTCATTGGTATCTTGCTCCTCTTTTTCAACATCCTTCATACACCAAATATAGTTAACCAATTGCTTATAGTACCTGCGAAATAGCCCTAACTACATAATCTAAACATTGACAAATGAACCCGAGGAAATAAAAGAACAGAGTACCAATGTTCCCTGCATTGCACATATTTGCTCAGATTTTTTTTTAGTTCTTTAAAACTCTTTATACATATCGTTGAGATATGTAGACTTGTAATTTTCTATACAAGTAACATTTCCAAGGGGCATAACTCTTTTAAAAATAATTGAACGGCACTGGTTTTTGAACTTGTCCTAGACATTGCTTATATAAACCCTTGATATAAATTTCATTAATATCTGGCAAGAACTGTACACAAGACAGTGCGTACAATGCAATTTTCTATAGAATTTACATATCTAAGGGACAGAACTCCTGAAAAAAAAAATGATCAGGGCTGATTTTTTTAACTTGTCCTAGACTTGCTGATATAAACCTTCGAATCGAAATAAATTTCATGACAATTCGTTAAGAAATGTAGGCTTGTAGGCAGTTATAATGCAATTTTCCATATCATTTATATTTCCAAGGGGCATAACTCTTTTAAAATTGTTGATCCACACTGATTTTCGAAACTTGTCCAAGACATTGCTGATGAATACATGTACCTTGGATTTAAGTTTGATAAAAATCTTGTAAGAAGCATGTAAGAGCCCTTACAAGATGTTTCACACAGGGGACAATGAGATCAAGGGCAAAAGAAACCCCTCAAACAGACATTTTAACCCTTACAATCATTCCATCAAACAGACATTGTAACCCTTACAATCATTCCATCCACAAAATATAGTTGATCTATTGCTTATAGTATCTGAGAAAGACCAAAACACAAAAACTCAACAATGACCAATGAGCCTTTTGAGCATGGGCTCAAGGTCAGATGAAACTTGTCAAAGAGGAGGTATTGTTTAATAGAAAAGAAGGGATTTTCTGTATTCAGTCATGTCACAAAGTCTCTAAACATACTTGACAAAGTCAAAAGCAAAGATACATATCTTATTGCTATTAATCTAAAAGGCACAGTGACACCTTCAACACAAGAGAGTAAAATGTCACTGCATTATAAACTCAAGCTGGCCCCTAGCACTGGTTGGAGTGAAATTATAGAGGTCTATGTGTGATGTGGAAATTATATTATCTGCATATAGATAAAACAATGACAAAGTTGGATTTATAGAAAACTATTGACACAATTTTATGACCTGTTAACAAGGAGTATTTATATTTCACAACCTTTATTACATGGTTACATTAGACCTTTGAAACAATAAAAAATAACATTGTAGTATGTGAAATATAAAATAACATACACATATATTTTTACCATAGTATTCTCAAAGTTATGTGAAGTAAATATATATTCCTGAAGTATCTTCAATTTCCCTAGTAAAATGAAATTATGTCAATTTCAATTTCTTTTTTTAAATTGTCATGATTTAGTTTCTCCAAGAATATGACAACAAAAATTGTGAAGTTTTAGGCAGATCAGTAGACCTTTCACTATTTTGGGCAATTCCTTTATTTTTTTTTATGTTCTCTAAAAATAACATTTTGAAAATCCAAATATACTAAAGCTCATTAATTTCTTCTTATTGTTTCAAAACTTATCTGATTTGAAATCTCAATAGAAATAGACTGTTGTCTAAACTAAACTATTTGGCAAAGATCATCAAATTTTATAAGATAAAAAATCTTTTATGTATTAGAACTAACTATTTTTTTTAATGTTGTTTAATAATAAACTCTTACCATTGAGTAATCAGTAACTCTAAATTTGATATAAAAACAAATTTGTTTAGACCTTTTCTAGCTGATTTCACAATTTCTAACTTTGTTAATGTATTCATATGAGAAGATCAAAGTTTGACATATATACTCATGTTATTTTCTACTCCCGAAAGTGGTGAAAATGAATCGCTCAAAATAATTAGTTTGTTTACATTAAATGAGTTAACCTTGTAACTCATAATGATTATTCCTGAAATAACTTTTTTAGCTATTTAAGAAAATAACAAACAAAGAATTTTCCTCTTTAGACATTGTTAAATACAGTCGAACCTCGTTATGTCGAAGTCGAAGGGACCGAACCAAAGTATTCGACTCATCCGAGGTTCGACTCATCCGAGGTCGAGTGTGTCGTAGAAATACGGTATGAGATTTGCGTAAACTAGATACTTTGAACACTGTGCCTTTTTTCGATATGACACACTTTATAATTGTGTATGCAATCGCCATTGTTGGTCCTTCATAATAATCAAACACACAAGAACAGATACAAATCATGCCCAAATAAAATCAATAGTCTACACAAATATTTATAAATAAAGGTCAGTCACTATAAATTATGAAATCATTCGCGGAACGAAATTAGTTCTGAACGGTCTCTGATGAGGGTGTCTGCTGTACATTAAATTATCATGAATTAATCATAATTGTCTTAAACCTTTATTTATTGTAATTAATGAGTCTTAATTCTAACGATTGATTTAATCTCGGCTAGTGTCATTTAAATTCGTTTTGTTTTTATCTCATGTAAAATATGTTCAACACACTTAAGTTCCGCTTGAACAATCAACAAAGGTGTTAATTACCGGCAACCATAAACATGTCAATTTAACTGTTATACAAACAAGCATGTTTACTTAGCTTTAATCTCTTTTGAAAATGATTAGGTTACATAAGAAATACATCCGATTTGAGTTTTTATCATTTAATAGGTCTGTATCTTTGGAAAATTCTTACTTTCGAACTTTGAGACATCGGGGTCAATTTACATTAATCTTATATCGACGGGACTATAAAATTTACTCGACATATCCGAGTATTCGAATCAACCGAGTTCGACTCATCAGAGGTTATTATGCATTGATCAAACGAGAATGTTACTGGGACCAAGAAATTACTTCGACTCATCCGAGTTTTCGACACAGCCGAGTTCGACACAACGAGGTTCGACTGTAATGAGTACCAAAAATAGGGTTCTAATGATAGACTATCTTTTATTATTAGTATAATATATCACACAATTTGATAAACCATGCTTATATAAAAAAAAATGAAAACAACATGTTAAAAAATCATCGTTCCAAGCACTTTTCTGGATCGACTTTTATCAGAAACACTCAAAGCCCAATATTTGAAAGCCAAGGATGTATAAGAACCGAAACAATTGAAGAGCTATATGACCAAAAAGGACCTAAAAAAATAGCAAAATCCATCTAATGTCAACTTTGCTTGAGGGAGTTGAAACCTTAGTTTCTTATTATTTCAAAATTTATTAATGGACAATTTAAGAAAGTATTGTAAAATGGTAAATTTCTTAATGTTAAGACAATAAACAATAAACTTTAACCTGTCTTTGGAGATGCACTGTGTCTTCCATAATCATGAAAGGAACAGGCTTATACATAAACGATTCTGTTTTTATCCTATATCATGTACAATTTTTCAAGTACTGTAAATTCTGAAATTTTTGCAATGTTTTTATTATTGTTAAAATTCGGACATGATAGGTTTGGCAAAAATTGAAAACTTGTGTTTCAAATTTTGATAACCTTATTTGTATGCAGCAAAAATTGTAATAACTAATCTGGCATGTTTGTCCATTGTTCAACAATCACATTAAGAAATGCAATAAAAATTTGTGAATTTACAGTAATTAGTTTGGACAAAAATTGACACTTCAATATGTATTATTCGGTATGTTGTGTTTACTTGGCTGCAAAAACTAATATGCTATACAGCATAATAAATTATTTTGCTGAAAGTGAACAACAGTAAGCTATCTAAATAAAGCCCATTTAAAACATAGTATCTTTTATATTAAATGTTTATAATCAGTTTTGACTTTTGTCTAATAGAAATAACAACAATTCTAATTAAAATATGTAAAACACAAATCTAATTAAAATCATTATATAAAACTATCTTAACATTAAAACTGATTGAAAAATCAGGTAACAGAGAGTAACAATTCTGTTGTAACAAAGTTAGATTTATGTATAACACATATTCTTAAATGAATCTTTTTACTTTGAAAAATGTGTGAAAAAGTACATATGGTGGCTCACTGGACAAATATGAAAGTGCTGTGTCTGTGATTTTAATCTATGCTTAAAAAAATACCTTTAAAAATTTGCATTTTCTTTAGAAGTTATTTTCATAAAAAAATAGAGGCCTCACAAATAAAGTTTTCCCGACAAAAAAATCTACAAAAAAGTACATTGAACACTTAAAAATCATAGAAAAATCTATGGTTCTCTGTAAAGACTTTTGTCTCTGGCAAGTTTCACTCAAACCAGGGAGTCAACTATCTTTCCATGGCGAGTCCAACAGTGAGAAGAAAATAAAAAGCAATGTCTAAATTTATTATTTAGGTCTTCATGACAAAAAAAAAATCAGAAAATAAAATCTGAATTAGATTAAATTAGAGATGTTTTGTTTATGAAGGGATGACTAATACAAAACAAAAAATAAAATTTTAACAATGTATGCATTATTAGTGTAATAATTTAAGAAGCCAAAACTTTGAGTACAATTTAAATTCACATGCACCATTTCATTCATTATGATTTCTTTGAACAAATGTTTGTAAGGGGATTATAAATCTTAATAAAGGAATTTAGATGAAAGTGAAACCTCATCAAATTGCCAGTTAATGGAAAAAACAACAGAAGTTTTGTGAAAATGTATGAATTCTAAAATATTTGGCAAGCACTAAAGGCAGGGAGCACTAAATAATTCTCCCTCAAACTCATAATAAGACAGTATTAGATAAATAAGAACAAATTTACAGATAAAACATATTTTTACAGCACTGATTGTGACAAATAAGTCATTAGAAATGCTCAACATAACAATATTGGTAACTTAACAAGCTATATAAAGATAACTTTACCATAAGACCTTTGATATTAATACCAAATTACAAATAAACCTTGACAATGGGCAATGTCTAAAAATATTCAATACTAGTGAACGTTTCATCAAACATATACAGGATAGGAGAATGACACATGATGATCACCAGTTAAGTGATTGTCAGACATAATACATCAATTCGTGATTCTTGTATATAATTTACTGAATATACTGAGTGATGACTAAAATAAATCTCTTCTGACCAGAACTGTTTACAACAGTGATTTTTGAAAAACCATATTTGTATCAAAATAACTGAATTATCATCTGAAAAATACAGTTTTCCCTCTTTTTGTAATTCCAAATGTAAAAATCACAACATACAACCACATAAAATGATTTATGATTTTCATAATATATACAGAAAACAAAATTTAGTTATCATACAAATTTTCTTTACAGCATTGGGTTATCCTTTTTAATGCTGTTTAATGCATTGCAATAATTTTATGAGTTACCTCCCCTTCCTGACACAATCATTTCAATTATTAAAGCAAGAATATGTTTCAAGAGTATTCTTTAATTCAGTGTGCATACTCCCTGAACATGTTCTCCATGTTTAAATATTCAAAAATATGAAAATATAACCAATAACATTTCTGATATGGAGAACATGATTTTTTATTCATAAATATTTTAATTTTTTGGTCTATAAAAAATCTCTATGTAGAGAAGCACTCTGTGGTAAGAAGCCACTTTTAACTTACCCTACTAAACTTTTAAATTTAACAGTATTTTATTGTTTTATTGTAGAATATATTAGAAATTCCCCAAGCCTAAGGGTTTTTTACTTATGTTAATTAAAGCAATTTTGATTTTTGTAGACTCATTACTGTTTGTGGGGATATCATGGATTTCTTGGGTAAAGGTTCAACAATATATAAGTTTTCTGTAAACTTGTCAGGTATTTAAGTTACCAGGAATATTAAACTTCTCCTCAATCTACGAAAATTGGTACCAACAAAAATATTTGAATCCCAGTAATAATATACTTACATGTTTTATAGTAACAGCAAAAAGGGGTACCTAGCAAGTTTACTAAAATTTTCATTTTTAAATCTTTTTGCTTTATTTTTGATGGCTGAATGAACAGGCAAAGTGACTATTTAATGATTTCTGCAATTTTCTTCTTCAGAAAGTGTTATTAAATTTCTTATATGCAATGATAACAATACTAAGTAAATAAACAATAAATGGATTGCAAACTATTTAAAAAAAAATAAGAGACATCTAAAAATATGTACAACTGAATTTGTCTCACAAAATATCAATTAGAAAGAAAGTGAGAGAAGAACAGAAAAGAAAATAATACAAAGGGATACACTTCCATTATATACAATTTTAAATTAAAAAAAACAACAAAACTGTCACTAAAACATGAATATCTTAAAATAACCCACCATTGAAAGAAATAAAATAGCATCACTGTGTTTTTTTCTCAAATATTAGCAGTATCCATATATCATCCTGTAAAAATTACACATAATTGAATTTAGATCCTTTACAGTCTAATATGGCAATAATTATTCTGAATACTTAAAAACCATATTCAAAACTAAACCTTTCAGAGTCTCAGGGTAGATATTGTGTCAATACATAACATGGTTATATACAAATGAAAATATAAACATTCATTTTAATGAAAAGTAAACTTATATGAACCAAGAATATACTTTTTAGAAAATGTGAAACTCCTATTTTTCTTTAATATTATCAATAACCAAAATGCTCCCTCCTCTTTTCTATCAATAAGTTTTCTTTGTCCAACGTTAAATCAACATTTTAGTTAATCATTTTGATATTTATATTGAAAACTTTTACATAATCCTTAATCAGATGCAAAAAAAGGAAGCATCTCTTAAATTCTATAACATAAACTATTACTTTCATTACAAAAATGAGACAAGAGGGAAATATTGTAGAAAGCTAACAACAAATGATGGGGAACATCCTAAGTTTAATGTATGTGATAAAAAAATGTAGAATTCTCCATATTATATGGCAAGATTTAATTGTCCCCATACCCACGAAAATGTAGAAAAAAATAAATATTACCCCTATATGTAAAACTAGTTTATGAATTTAATCATAATAAAATGATTCACATTTTTTTGCAATTACAAAATAATTTTACCCTGAAATTTGACATAGCATGAATTTTTCATGTTACCGTAAATTGTAATTTCCAAAATATATGGCACAAAAAAAGGTAATGAGAATTCTTTACATTTACTATTTTCTTCAATAATGTAAAATTCATTTCTTCTTTTATAAAAGAACTGATCTATTATCCTTTAAAAATAATCTATTCTTCATTCATTTGTAAATTTTAAAATGTTCTTAATCCATTTTTGAGTACAAAAAAAATCAGTATCTAAGTTTAAGATCCTCTCTATCTAGTCGTGGACGTTTTCTGTATGACTCAGCATAATGTCCTCCGATACCTTGTGAATGCTGGCCAATGAAATCTCCCTCAGGACTCGCCTCTGGAGGAGGAAGGAGATGGCTGTAACTCCTCTTCTGTCCTACTGGAGTTTTCTACAAGATAATTTAAGAGTGGATTATTATGCATACTCATACATGCATTTCACATAAAAATTAATCCAAGTCAAATTGAAATACATTATCTCACTTGTACATAGATCCCTGTTAATTCCTAGAAATAGTTCTTTTAATAAAATTTCTTGTCTGGTACTTTTTAAAAAAAAATAACGTACTATACCTTTTGTCTTCATTCTATAATAAATACCAATCTTACACATGCACCCATTTTATAATCCTAAAGATTATTTTGGTGTAAATTTTAGTTTCAAATGATGGAATAATGACAGAAAAGTGTAATTACATTGATTTTAAAAAAACACCTATAAAGCATGATGATCTAAATCAAATAATTTAGTGTTACTATTTCTGATCAACTGATTGATTTATGGGTGTCTAATGCCACTTCCAGCACTATTGGCTATTTGGAGGAAGCTGTAGTGCACGGTGAGAACCACCAACGTTGACAGGAAAACTGATAATCCTAGTCAATTAAGATTGGATTTGAGCAACTGCCACATTGTGGGGTGAGAACTCACACCTTAGTGTTGACAGGCTAGTATGTATTTACTATGGCCTCTGGTACGTTTCACAAATAATCAATTTCTCTAATACCTACCAATAAACCATCATCTTTCACACCGATAGGCGTACAATATCCACTTGTAGAGTAGCCCCCATCAGAATACATGGAGTCATTTGATCTGTAGGACTGTTCATACAATGATGATGGATCAGTGTACGTGTCTGAGAAATCACTGATAGAACTAGCTTGAGACCTGCTTCTTTTGGTACCAGACATTAACAAGTCATCATGGTACGATGTTCCGGTCAGTAGAGACTGATGTGCATTTGGTTGGTTGGTCATGTATTGATCAATCATATCACCATACGTCCTGGATGCCTGTGTAAAAATAAACATCAGATATAATTTTTGTCTTATTTTTGTTAGGTTGCTGTCTCAGTAATGTTTACCTTACATCTCTTTTCTTCATACCAAAGTAAATTTCAACATTGTAGTCTTTTTTGTTTATAAATGGTTTGAAGAAGTAAAACATGTTTCAAAGTGAAGATGTATGTGTATACTTCGGAAAATAAAGTTGGAGTAAATGGACATGGCATAGATACAGGTGTATATCTTAAATGATTATTTAAGTTTGATTTAATTTGGAAACTTTTTTTTCCTCAAAAAAAGATTTATATTAAATTACAGTCATAAATAGAAATTCTTTCTATTTCAAGAAGGTTACAAATTTTTTAACTTCAAAATAGATAAATTCAACATGCAAGCCTTGGTGAATATGTTAAAATTTACACTTTCTTTAGTTGAGAAATATTGTAACTTGTGAGCAAAAAGAAGGGAATTTTGGTGGCTTGCTGAGGCAGGTTTTCAATCTAAGATAATGAAGCAAGTAATCAACCTCCACAGGTCATTCTGGTATCATTTATTTCAGTATTTCTAATTCATTTAGTATGAAATTGGGACAATTTGAAAGAGCAAAGTGAAAATAAAGTCAGAAACTATTTCCAAACCGTTTTTTTTTTTTTTTTAATGATAGTCATAACAAGGATTTAAAAATAATTACAAAATAGGGTATAATAACAATCATATCAGTTTAACTAAACTCACTGCTAGAGGACTACATGTATTAGCATTAAGCAGATAGAACTCTGGAACAAGATAAACATCTGAATGAATATTAATCAGGTAGATTGGTTTGATAAGATGGTAGCCAATGAACATTTATTACTCTCATTTCTAAATGTAAGTGCTTTGTTGTTATGTTTCCTGCTTATGATTCTGAATGTAAGTGCTTTGTTGTTATGTTTCCTGCTTATGATTCTGAATGTAAGTGCTTTGTTGTTATGTTTCCTGCTTATGATTTCTGAATGTAAGTGTTTTGTTGTTGTGTTCTCTGCTTATGATTTCTGAATGTACATGCTTTGTTGTAATGTTCCCTGCTTATGATTTCTGAATGTAAGTGCTTTGTTGTTGTGTTCTCTGCTTATGATTCTGAATGTAAGTGCTTTGTTGTAATGTTCCCTGCTTATGATTTCTGAATGTAAGTGCTTTGTAGTTATGTTCTCTGCTTATGATTCTGAATGTAAGTGCTTTGTTGTTATGTTCTCTGCTTATGATTTCTGAATGTAAATGCTTTGTTGTTGTGTTCCCTGCTTATGATTTCTGAATGTAAATGCTTTGTTATGTTCCCTGCTCATGATTCTGAATGTACATGCTTTGTTGTTATGTTCTCTGCTTAAGATTCTGAATGTAAATGCTTTGTTGTTATGTTCCCTGCTTATGATTTCTGAATGTAAATGCTTTGTTGTTATGTTCTCTGCTTAAGATTCTGAATGTAAATGCTTTGTTGTTATGTTCCCTGCTTATGATTTCTGAATGTACATGCTTTGTTGTTATGTTCCCTCCTTATGATTCTGAAAGTAAATGCTTTCAGTGCTTATGATTTCTGCATTTTGTACATTTTGTTGCTTGTCTGTTTATCAATATTAATCTCAATGACTAACAAAATCTTAATTTAAAGCTAATTTTCTACCTTCCAAAGTAGAAGTAAAGCACAGTATATCAAATACTAAAATCCTTACCATTCATATCAAATACCATTAGACATTGAACTGTTATATTGTATTGCCAACAATATTAAACAGACACTCTCATGATAATATGTAGGCACGCTCTAAAACTAAAATGGAAGGCAAAGGGAAACATTTATACAGAAAGATTTAATTATATCCATTTTAACATAAAAATGTTGCAGTTAGCCATCCACAGACTTACCCTATTTTGGTATGTAGATGTAGTTTCTGTTTGTGGAGGCTGGGGTATCATATTTGTGAAGGCAGGAGGAGGCATCAAACCATCAGGTTCATCATGACCTTGTTTTGAGTTTCCATTATATACTTGGGCAATTCTGTTCTGAGACACATTTTCATGATAGAGATGAGATCTAGACATATCTGTCATTAAAGGTTTGATCTTAATGGCATTGTCTACATACTGTGATGAATGTGATGAACCTTGGTTCACATTTGACAAGGAAGCAGATTTGTTAATCTGGTCATAAGCTGCAGGATAATGTCTACTTCCATTTTGTGCTGTGAAGTTTCCATACTGATCTAAATGCATATCAGAATTTTGTCTATTAAACTGCATGTTACTATTTATAGCCGGATTTGCACTGTAGACACCTTCTTGTTGTAAAGCTGGTCCTCTATTATATGGAATGTTTTCTTTCACAGAACTTTTCATCCGATCTTGAACTGGATACATACTATGTTGGTAATTAGACATATCTATTTCCAATAAACTTTTTGGCTTGGCTTTCTGTTCTGTTACTTTTGCATTTTTAACAATGGACTGGTCATTCATTAACGGTTGGGGTGGTCCACTCCCTAACAAACCAGATGAAGTCTGTATAGATGAAGCTAACTGTCCTAAGTTTATCAACATATTCATGTTAACGTTTTTTAAGTTTAATGCCAAAGACTGAAGTAGTGAGGAATTATGTTCGTTGTTTTGTTGAAGATTCTGATTGACAGGCGGATTAGAGGTCAAAGGTTGTACTGTTGATATCTGACTAGTTAAATTTTTAAGAACAACACTGGCCTGGATTGCTAAAGGGTCTCCAAGAATAGATGACTGTCCATCCTGTAATTATTCATAGAACATTAGGTTATTATGGAAAAGTTTTATTTGGGACATTAAACAAAAAGGAATGAACAATTATGTACATGTAGAAACAATATTTTCCTAGCTTTTCTTAAATACTCACATGAATATGTGGTGGATATGAGAATAAAGTCTCTTTCCACTATCTTTCCTCATATCACATGCATATGTGGTGAATATGAGAATAAAGTCTCTTTCCACTATCTTTCCTCATATCACATGCATATGTGGTGGATATGAGAATAAAGTCTCTTTCCACTATCTTCCCTCATATCATATGCATATGTGGTGGATATGAGAATAAAGTCTCTTTCCACTATCTTCCCTCATATCACATGCATATGTGGTGGATATGAGAATAAAGTCTCTTTCCACTATCTTCCCTCATACCTATATTTTTTTCTGGAAAATATGGATTTTGTGAAAATTTCAGCAAACCATACTATTCTTTTAAATATAAAGAATAATGTTTTATACTAGTTATTTACTAAATAACTTTCATATCTCAATGAAATCAGAAGCTTTACCGACATCAAAGTTGTCATTTTTTTTTACCATGTTTACATCTAATCAACTATCCAAAAGTCAGATTTCAAGAACCAATATTTATTAATTGACAATTTACAGCCTGGACTCTTTATGTTTAAACTGGCCCTCATATTACTCATCCTAATACATGTAATGTCTTTTAAGATTAGTACATAGATTTTGATCTCAGTAAATAATAAAATGCTTTGCTGAACGCAGCTGGATACGACCGCAAAATTTACCCCCCCTTTTTTTTGCTTTTGTGAAATACACTATGCTGTTGCGTATTGACCCCCCTCCCCCTTTTTTTGCAAAAAAAAATAATGTTTGAAGAAATTTTCTTTTTAATTTCTGAAATCTGAAATGAAAAAAAAATTGCCCCCCTTAATTTCTTTTTTACCCCCCTCCCCCCTGCTAATTTTTTTTTCACCTCCCCCTCCCCCTTTTCCAAAAAAAAAAAATTCTTTCCCTCAAGATATGGTCATAATCTCAATTCAAATTTCCAATGGAGTTTGCAACCATAATAACCAATTTAAATACATCATAAAAGTCTTAAAATAGAAAATGACATACATAATCATTGCTAAAATTAATATTCCTTTAATAGTAACTTCTAAGAATAAATTGACAGCTAATCACCTCAAGATAATACAAAATTTCTTTATACATAATTTAAAAGCAGTGTAAGGGAGGTAATCCAAACATACACAACATTGTACTTTAAATGTGTTTGGATTACCTCCCTTACACTGCTTTTAAATTGTCCATTAACCAGGAAACCTTTGTTTTTCCCCCTTTTTTCCCCCTAATTCCTTAACAGTTTGAGCCATAACCCCCCAAAGTCAATCCTAACCATCCATTTGTGGTATGGAAACTTGAGGTATAATTTCAGAGAGATTCATACACCGTTCCACAAGTTATTGTTTCGAAACTAGAAAAATGCTTATTTGGGCCCTTTTTTGGCCCCTAATTCCTAAACTGTTAGGACCATAACCCCCAAAATCAAACCCAGCCTTCCTTTTGTGGTTATTAACCTTGTGTTTAAATTTCATAGATTTCTTTATACTTATACTAAAGTTATTGTCTGGAAACCAAATGTCTTCGGAAGACGACGTGAACCCAAAATAAAAATACAGACTATATCAAATCATGATAAAAATAATTTGATTAATTATAGGTTTCATAATGTCAGAGTTAGAATTGGAAATTCCTTGTTATTAACTCCATTTGTTTAAATTCAGTTTAAAAATAAACAAGATCTGGCGAGTTCAATATTACTATTTAAATCACATAACAAGAGTTGAAATCAGATAACCTATTTCTTGTATGGTAAACATTCTCTTTGTGTTAAAAAGCAAATTTTGTGACTTGCTGATCTACTCTTTTACACATAACAGTATGACATCATATGTCCTATTATGATTTCAAACTTTAACACTTTTAACCTGAAAATCTTCCTTTTGTGAAATTTCAGTTCACAAGTACACTTCAGAATGTACTGAAATTTCACAAAAGGAAGATTTTCAGGTTAAAAGTGTTAGTGTTTTGTACATTATTGAAGAAATCACATATCTCCTTTGCCATGGAGGATATGTTCATTGTATTGACCTTTAAAAATCATCGATCACCTGAGGAATAGCCAATGAAAATGTAGCAATCTTGTTGCATGATGCTGGATAAGTCAATCAAGTAAACCCATTTTTTTGTATTACACTCTGCAGTGTGATACTAGAAATATCTCTTCATGCAAAAAAACAATAACATGCCATTTCCATGAGAGAATAAATATTTTTATTTTTTAGGATGTATAAAATACCTGTTTAGTATGTTGATTCAAAACCAAACCAAACAAATCCAGTGGACTCAATATCTGCAAACAGAATAAAAAACCAATTGTTCATAAGCATTAAATCAAGACACGTTGTTTTTTTTTCAAATATCAAATTATACATATTACAATTTATATATAGATATATTCAGATAAATGTGACATCTCAACTGCAACCTAAATAATATACCTTATTTTGAGACTTTGACTGTAACTGTAATGCCAGTAAGACTATAAGTCCTAGCTGCATGCTAGGGTTGATCAATGGATTCAGTTGAACAGAAGGTGCAGGTCCCAGCAACCCTGCAAAATATAAAAGGATCAAACATAATATCTAACAAAATATCTGGCGAAGAACTAAATAAGAATAGCTGTCTTTAATTGTCTTCTTAGTTTCACAATTTGTTGACAAGAAATCATTATAATACAGATGCATATTGGGGCAATTAATTAATTTTGAAGTTAAGATTCTAGTTGTTAAGGACTTATACTGGTCATCACATGCATTTTTACAATAGATTCAGTTAAACTACAAATGTAACCTACAAAACCTTCAAAATACAGAAATGTATGTATCAATTCAATGTGGCTATATGTTAAAATATGACAGCAATCTTGAATTTCTGATGGAAATTTTATATGACCATATTATTTTCATTCATGCATAATTTTGTCATTTTGCATGAGAGAAACATTTTCTATGAAGCTGTGAAATGTTTTTTGTATTGGTTCTAATTTTAACACTCCTTTCCCGCTTACCTTTCTATTTTCAATCATGTGACTATTGTTCTTCTGCAATTAATTAAGTCATATTATAAAGTATAACCACTTAAAATGATTTTAATTAAGAATAATCTCCATCAGCAAAGTTGTTTTAGAGTACAAAATTCTTGCAATTTTTCAAGACAAGCAGATGAACTAAAATCAAACACTAAAAATCAGAATGGCTCTTTAGACCAGCAGAGCTAAAAAAAAAGAAGAGAAGAGGTAAAGTACTTTGATGTTTACCTGATTGCACATATTTAGGCACTTGACAGATAAATGATATTCATCAGAATTTGCCGACCCTGTCAACGTATATTTGTTCCGCCTAACAGAAGTTCCACTGGAAACTTTGTTATAAACAATGTCATAATATCTGTTCCTATTGGAACAAATATTCTATACAATTTATTCTGTTAGGAACATTTACTGTAATATTTATTCCAGTGGAAATAATATTCCAGAATATTGTTTCCATTTGGAACTTATATTATGAAGGAACTTCTATTCTGTGACATCCCAACACTTAAATACAGAAGAATTTAATATTTACCTGGTTTTGCAGAACTGGTTACTTGATTCATGTACGTCTGTTGTATCTGTGTTAATGCTTGTTTAAAACAACTAATTACTACAAAACAAGAAACAACTCATTACTACAAAACAAGAAACAACTCATTACTACAAAACAAGAAACAACTCATTACTACAAAACAAGAAACAACTCATTACTACAAAACAAGAAACAACTCATTACTACAAAACAAGAACACAAGTTTTATAATCTCCACAATACAAAAAAGTACACTGAAATGGTCATGATAATTTTGGGACTCGTCTTGACAACTCTCTGGTTCTTCTGAAAAGTTCGAATTGGGTAACTCTATGCTCTATGAGTATATCTTGTTTCAGTGCTTTTCCTAAAATGTAGTGTACATGAATCTATTTTATTTTTTTATTATACATATAGTCTGCTAAACTGACAATTACCAGCATAAATGAAACAAATTACCAGATGGAATAATTATGAATATGTCTGATTCATATTCATATAAATCAATTACATGTATTACCTCTCACTGTTTTATTTCTGTGTGTTTAATAATGTCACTTTCATCTTGTATGTCTTGAACACCAAATAAACAAAATATGAGTATAGCTACAATATCCCAGTTTATTCCAATACATATTTTTACATTCAAAACAGCATATTTAGATACATACAATTAGGCTGCTGGTTGCAGAGTTGTCTGACTAAAGGTGTCTTCAACAAATCATCTTTCATAAAAATAGGATCTGGTAACAAGCCTTTCTTCGGTGGTTCGGTTCTATCACAACTACCCTGTAATAATCACAGTAAAAGATTTAGGAAATAATTTTAAAACATATGGTGTGTACCTGCATTTATGTACACAATACATAAATCATAATAACAATATGATATACCACATCAGTGTTCCAACTTGATTGTTTTCACAGGGCTGCCCTTTCCCGACTGATGCCCTATGCCCTTTTTATGATTCCCTGTGCCCTTTTTTTAAATGAATTCCAAATATCAATTTAAACGTTTTTACAGGGATAATGATTATGCAGTGAAATATTTGTTACAATTTCATTTATGCTGTGATTCCTGGTTTAAAAAATAGAGGAACCCAACTTCTGTTGATCAGGAATGTAGGCAGAAAATAACTGAAGTGAAATTGAGATTTCCTGATCCTTGTTCTAATCTTCATATTTAAGCATCACATCAGTCAAATCAAGCAATAACTGCCTATATTTATAGCATGCCTAAGGCCTTCAAAGATCCTGTTCCTTGAAGGACTTAGGCACATGTATAGCTAGTAATATACTTAACGGTAATTGGTCCCTTACTGTTACCAAAAATAAGGTTGATTTTCATCTAGTGCAAAAGTGACTAAGGCCTCAAAATCATAGCTGAAACCCTGCGGTTTACATAATAAGTAGGTACGCATGCTAAATTCCAGTGAAAAAAGGTTAATTTTAAATTGCTTTTCTTCTTGATTTTTACAATGCATTCCTTAAATAATGAAAAAAAAAAAAAAATAACTACCACATACCAAAATAAATTTAAAATTATTAAAATTATTTCATTTTATATACTTGTAAGGAGTTATTTTCTTTCAGAACGATAGGTCTTTCTTTTGAAGAATCAATCCGGTCGATACCAAGTTTCAATGAAATTTGCTTCAAGACATAAAATAATGACCTGTATACAGGTGTAAGATCATAATATTTAATCCTGATTCTCAATTAAATAAAATGCTTTGCTGAGCGCAGCCAGATACGACCGCAGAGGTCTAACCCTTAACAGTTGGGGCAAGTTTGGACACAATATTCAAGCTTGATGCTGTCTGAATTTGGATTGTGATCAAAATTTAATTTTAGTTGAAATCAAACAAAGTTTAATTTTAGACCCTTCAAACCTTAATATTGACTAATTTGAAAACAGGGCCCAAAATAAAAAATCTAAATGCGCAATAAGATTCAGCATATCATACAGCCGCAATAATTCAGTTTTTGATGAAATCAAACAAAGTTTAATTTTGGACCCTTTTGACCTCAATGTAGACCAATTAAAAAATGGGGCAGAATATCCAAAAAAGTAATACAAGGTTAGAACCCCCAAAAATTAAAGACTTTAAATTAATCCCATTGAAATTGGTTAAAAGATTTTATTTATTTTCAAAAGAAGATTTCTTGCTACTGCATTTAAGATTTCTTGCTATTGTGCAATACTGTGCAATTGAAGATTTCTTGCTATTGCTCAATACCGACCAATTGAAGATTTCCTGCTATAGCACAATACTGTATAATTGAAGATTTCTTGCTATTGCACAATACTGTGCAATTGAAGATTTCTTGCTATTGCACAATACTGTGCTGTTGTGCAATACTGTGCAATTGAAGATTTCTTGCTATTGGGCAATACTGTGCAATTGAAGATTTCTTGCTATTGCGTAATACTGTGCAATTGAAGATTTCTTGCTATTGCGCAATACTTTGTTGTTGCTCAATACTATGATATTGCGAATACTGTGCAATTGAAGATTTCTTGCTATTGGGCAATACTGTGCAATTAGAGATTTCTTGCTATTGCACAATACTGTGCAATTGAAGATTTCTTGCTATTGCACAATACTGTGCAATTGAAGATTTCTTGCTATTGCCCAATACTGTGCAATTGAGATGTCTTGCTACTGTGCAATACTGTGCAATCATTTGAAATTTCAAAAATTTTGAAGAAAAAAAATATGAACCCCCCCAAAAAATTGGAAAAAAAATCCCCCCAAACTTTTTGAACCCCCTCCCCCTTGGAGTAATTACCCCCAAATTAATCCCAGCCTTCCCTTTGTGGAATGGAACCTTGTACAATTTTAGAGAGATCCATACACTTAAACACAAGTTACTGTCTGGAAACTAGAAAAAATGCTTGTTTTTGGCCCCTTTTTTACCCCTAATTCCTGAACCGTTGGGGCAATTACCCCCAAACTCAATCCCAGCCTTCCCTTTGTGATATGGAACCTCGTGTTACAATTTCTGAGAGATCTATACACTAACACACAAGTTATTGTCCGGAAACTACAAAAATGCTTGTTTTTGGCCCCTAATTTCCTAAACTGTTGGTACCATAACCCCCAAAATCAATCCCAACCTTTCTTTTGTGGTATTGAACCTTCTGGTTAAGTTTCTTACAGATCAATTCACTTATACTAAAGTTATTGTCCGGAAACCAAATGTGTCTTCGGACGACGCCGACAACGACACCATAGCATTATACGACGCAAAAAATTTTTTGCGGTCGTATAAAAATAAATGAAGAATGTGTCTGAGGATACAAATGCCCCCGCTCAAGCTTTGCAATTCTCCAAGTTAAAAGGGGGCATAACTCTAGAACGGTAATGACTCACAACCCAAATTTGAACTCCTGTCTTTGTGTGTTGTGTCTTGATAATGCCAGAAATCTTCTACAGTGACTTAAAAGTTAACACTTTATAGTGATCAAGAAGGCATCTTAAAGATCTTCTCTTTTATTTTCATTACAAACAATTATATATGTCTTTTGGATGAACATATACAGTTGTAATTTAAATTTCTTTTTGTAAATAAAAAAGACAAAACTCACAAATTTTGAGACAATCTTTGAACATAAAAAGATGCCTGGCTTCCCAGGAATGCAGTATGTTAATCTGATGGGTTGGCCTTGAACCTCGTGATTATCCAACTTATTCTTTGACCTTTGAGCTTCTTGGTATGTTTTGTATTCTATAATACCATATCCTAGAGATTCATTGTCTTTCATTACAATCTGAAAAAAAGTGTTTAATAATAGGCTATGAAATGAAATTAATATTAGTAACAGTCTTATAAACAAGACATTCAATTCACAGTAGTTTGTCACAAAATGACATGAGATTAGAAAGTCATTTGGGGTAAACTGATTCCAGTTCAATAATGGGCAATCACAGTCAAGTGAAAACAAGAATAAACTGCTTCGCTGAGCGCAGCTGGATACGCCCTCAGAGGTCCAACCCTGCACAGTTGGGGCAAAAAAGGACACAATATTCAAGCAGGTCTGAATTTCGATTGTATTAAATATTTGACATATTATAGGTTTCTGAATAAATGTAGTCAAAAGAACTTGAAATTTGGTTATATGAATTGAATTTATATTCAATTAAAGATTTCTTGCTGTTGTGCAATACACTGTGCTGTTGCGCAATACTTAGTAAATCTGTTGTCAGACTATAAACAAATAAAGTTCAATTAATTCTAAGTCATATTAGAAATTTATGAAAATGTAAAGTGAGCTTACATCAATATATATAAATAATTCAGCAAAGTTTCATGAGAATTGCTGACAGCATTTTTGAGTTATTGTCCAAAAACTGAAAAATCCCCCCTTTTTAATGAATAAAACCCCATAACTCAGAAATGTAAAATGTAAAATTTATAAAATTCTAAACCAAGCTTACATCAAAAGATATAAACAATTCACTTAAGTTTCATACAAACTGCTGAAAGCATTTTTGATTTTTTGTCCGAAAACTGGAAAATCCCCCTTTTTTTATGAATAAAACCCTGTTACTCGGAAACGTAAAACCTAAACTATATAAAAATCGAAAGGGACCTCATGTCAATAGATATAAACAATTCACCACAATTTCTTGCAAGTTGGTGAAAGCATTCTTGAGTTATTGTCGGAAAATTGGAAAATCCCCCTTTTTTTAATTAACAAGAGTGCACACACTGAAATGTCTCGCCTTCTTTACTAATTATTGATATTATGTTGATAGTCCTAAATATAAAGCTTTATTACAACTGTCACATAAACTTAACATTAACCAAGAAAACTAAACATTGACCAATGAACCATGAAAATGAGGTCAAGGTCAGATGAACCGTGCCAGGCAGACATGTACAGTTAACAATTCTTGTATATAACAAATATAGTTGACCTATTGCTTATAGTTTAAGAAAAACAGACCAAAACACAAAAACTTAACACTGATCAATGAACCGTGAAAATGAGGTCAAGGTCATACAAAACCTGCGTGACTAACATATAGATCATAAAATATTTCCATACACCAAATATAGTTGACCTATGGCATATAGTATTAGAAAAAAAGACCAAAACTCAAAAACTTAACTTTGACCACTGAACCATGAAAACGAGGTCAAGGTCAGATGACACCTGCCAGCTAGACATGTACACCTTACAATCATTCCATACACCAAATATAGTAGACCTATTGCATACAGTATAAGAAAAACAGACCAAAACACAAAAACTTAACTATAACCACTGAACCATGAAAATGAGGTCAAGGTCAGATGACACCTGCCAGTTGGACATGTACACCTTACAGTCCTTCCATACACCGAATATACTAAACCTATTGCTTATAGTATCTGAGATATGGACTTGACCACCAAAACTTAACCTTGTTCACTGATCCATGAAATGAGGTCGAGGTCAAGTAAATACTGTCTGACGGGCATGAGGACCTTGCAAGGTAAGCACATACCAAATATAGTTATCCTACTACTTATAATAAGAGAGAATTTAACATTACAAAAAATGTTAACTTTTTTTTCAAGTAGTCACTGAACAATGAAAATGAGGTCAAGGACATTGGACATGTGACTGACGGAAACTTCGTAACATGAGGCATCCATATACAAAGTATGAAGCATCCAGGTCTTCCACCTTCTAAAATATAAAGCTTTAAAGAAGTTAGCTAACGCCGCCGCCGCCGGATCACTATCCCTATGTCGAGCTTTCTGCGACAAAAGTCGCAGGCTCGACAATAAAACCCCATTACTCGGAAACGTAAAATCTAAAATTTATAAAAAACAAAAAGGAGCTCATGTCAATAGATATAAACAATTCACCAAAGTTTTATGCAAATTGGTTAAAGCGTTTTTGAGTTAATGTCCGACATGTTGACGACGGAGGGACAACGGTATACATTTTTGTACCATAATACGTCCCGTAAACAGGCGTATAAAAACTGTGAGCAGAGCCCAAATATTCAGATTCTTGAAGATAAATAAATTTAACTTTCTCTTTTGTTGCTATCTCATAATCTAGTAAACCTAATCTAATAACTTTAAACAAATTTAATGAAATTTTAATTTGTCTCAGATAGTGTGTGTTCAACAAACACAATGTGTGTTCAACAAACACAATTTTCCACTTCATAAATCATCAAAAGTGTCAACCGACAATAAACATACCATTGTAACTGTTTTAATAACAAATTGACTGACACTATTTTATTGAAAGAAACTAATCTGGATGCACAATTGGAAAAATTGGAAATTTACACTTTTGAAATTAGAAATCCAAAAGTCCTGAACCATACACTGTACCTGTCAACCTCTCAAACTGAAAATGCAGGTCATGACCTGCATTGAAGAAGAAAATGTCAAGTCATAACGCGTACAAACTTTTTAGGTCCAATTTTAGTATCGAGAGTTTGTTTTTTTATATACTATAACATATATATACATGAACAACTGAGTTTCCTAAAAATAATCACTTTTGTATTTGATAAGTATATAAATATTTATCATTAAAATTAAATATCTTTCTAACGCAATGCCCTTTTATTGTTTTATTCACACTAGTTTACTTCTTTTTATTAATGAATGTCATAAACCCCAGCTAATCAATTATAGCTAATGTTTCTCCTATACACAGGAGGAAGATAAATTTTCATATTGGTTGTTTTCGGTGTAGATATTAATTATTCAATTATCATAGTAACAACATGAAAAGATAACTACCTGACAGTAAAGAGGTTTATGACAACAACTAAATATGTCCCGTAGAGCCATTACATCTGTAAAGTCCTTAGGTAGATTGTCTATCAACAAACATTTAGAACACAATTTGTCATATGAATTGATGTCAACAGTTTCACAGTGTATTGAATGACTATCAACTTCTTTCCAATCTAACTCTAGCTCTATCTGTTTAGATTTTTCTATTGAACAATCAAACTCCACAAATCCATATCCAAGACTTCCTCCTAAAAAAATAAGAATTTCAAGTTTAAAATAAATTACCAAAAGTTATGTCAGATCTTTTTTTTTTTAAATATATGGACTTTCTCATTTGTCCACTGTAACAGGAAATGACTCATTGAAAAACCTGATAGCATGGTGGAAAAATTAGATATAAAACCTGTATTGGTGTTGTAAAAAAACTTAATTTGACTTTACTTTATTCAGTGTTCCAGCTAGGTCGTTTTCACAGGGCGGTCCGCCCGCCCTTTCCTGAGTGCCGCCCTGTGCCCTTTTTACAGTTTGCAGGGCGCCCTGCCTTTTTTGAAGATCGATTGGTATATTATTTTGTTCGTATTGATATGATCAGCCAATTACGAAAATTTACCTGGCGACAAGTATATAACTTTGTTTACGACCCCAAGCTAATCAACGGTTACAACAGGTGTCATAATCTGTTGTTATAGGTAATCCGTTTATCGGATGGGTCATTTAATGATCATCAACATTAATTCATTCAAATAGAATCGGTCAGTCTGCATAAATTTGTCTTTGAACAATTTGGGCACAATTAGCAATGTTTACCGTAGTTTCATGGAGAAAACGTAATTGACAGAAAGTCGAAAACCATAATCAACTCGTTAAAAACATTGCTACTATTGTTTTCCGTGAAATAAATAGTAAATTAAGACGTATTTTTCATTGACTGCCTTCATTTTTTATACTAAAGTAACAAAATCGGCCGCCATATTGTTGATCATATTTACATTTTCTACGTACTGTTTATTATCCTCCAAAGAAGGAGCACACCCAAATAAAGAAAGATAACTCAATCTTATTTTTTCCTAGCATTGAGTAACCTACTTAAGATATTATAAAATATGTCTTCATACTTCTGGCTTTAGAATTTATATGTTTAGGTGTTTTAAGTTATGGGAAAAGTTAAAGAGGGTCTTAGTAGCAGGGTTGGTAGGGTGCCTTGGTCATCTTTTTCTGTATTTTTTATTTTCAATCCAAATTTTCACTGTTCACTATATCCTAACATTGTGCATTTACAGCTGTTTTGTGCTGTATTGCCATTAAGCACAGAAAAGGTAGAAAGGTGAAACTTGTAAAGTGTGTCAGACCATAGAAACAGAATGAAGCAGGACATTTTTAAAAAAATACTGCATATAAAGCTTAACTGTGCCAAGCAATGATTTAAAACTTGTGTCACAAGCTGCTTGATAAGTTTTCAGCCTAAAAAGTAGAAAGATAGTTTTTCTCTGGGCTAATGATGTTGTTCTTGTATATTTATAACCAGTGATTCAATGAACAAACAATGTTTGATTACAATCTTTATTAAAACATGCCCTTTTCATATTATCATATCACACGTTAAATGCCCTTTTTCAGGATTGGCACCCTGCCCTTTTGAAATCCTAGCTGGAACACTGTTATTTAATTGTCAATATCAGATGTTACAAATTTCTTGCTAATCTTAACCAGACAAAGGCAGACAACTCTAATTCACTGATCTGCCAGTGTCCAATGTATTATTAGCACATTTTTATGAAAGTTCCTGAACACATGATTTTTTAATTTAACCAATGGATATATGATGAATTATAATGGTGAAAATGACTTTAAGAACTTTAAGAGAGGTATTCTAGTTTTAAAAACAAGTGAGAATTTGAGATTTTCATGTCAATCTAATTCAAAACTGTATGGTATATATAGTTGGCCTTTACACATTATTTATTGTACAACATTCTGTATATCAGGTTTATTTCGTGTGTGTTTAATTTTCGCTTTGTTCATAGCACCTAAAGAAACGCGAAAATTTGACCACACTTAAATTTCCCTGCATATTCCAAGATTTATGGTTGTTTGAAAGACTGTCAATTATCGAGTCTTTTGTGTTGTTTGACAGATCACAAGAATAGGCATACTTAACAAGCATTCTGAGAGTATACATAGTCCCCTACTGGTTAAAAATTAATTGCACTGGAACAAAATGCTAACTTGATCTATAACTTGTCATGGTGTAAACTAAATAACAAATATCAAGTCAATATCTTCAAGCATGACGAAAAAAAGTGCGGAAAACTGATAATTTAAGTGAATTTTCTAAGTCTAAGGACCATAACTCTGCAAAAAATCATCAAACCGAAACAAAATTCAAACTTGGTCTGTAACTTGTCATGATGAAACTATATACCAATTATCAAATCAATATCTTCAAGCATGATGAAAAAAAAGTGCAGAAAACTGATTATTTGAGTGAATTTTCTAAGTCCAAGGACCATTACTCTGCACAAAATCATCAGACCAGAACAAAATTCAAACTTGATCTGTAACTTGTCATGATAAAACAATGCACCAATTATTAAATCAATATCTTCAAGAATGACGAAAAAAAAGTGCGGAAAACTGAATATTTGAGTGAATTTTCCAAATCCAAGGACCATAACTCTGCACAAAATTATCAGACCGGAACAAAATTCGAACTTGATCTGTAACTTGTCATGATAAAACAATATACCAAATATCAAATCAATATCTTCAAGCATGAAGAAAAAAAGTGTGGAAAACTGATTTGCCGGACTGACAGGACAGACAGACAGACGGACAGACAGAAGGACGGAGTGCAAACCTAAAGTCCACTTTGACTTCGTCTGTAGGGGACTAATTAAGATCTCTGTTTTCATAATAATTAATTGGCTTATGATACATGTCACACCCTTTGACAACACAGCAATCAGTGACATGTTAAAAATATTAATAAGCGACACTCTATTGATTGGTGTCATAACCAATATGATACAGTTATTTTTTCGCGTGTATTTTCCCATTCAGCAAAAATTATACACAGTAAAAACTAACCTGCCCATTTTGTCATCAAATCGTGAAAAAATCCTGACGCAAAAAAAAACTGATATACAGTATTTGTTTTTAGAATCAGAAGAAGGAGATTAAATTGGTGTTGATAAAGAATATTCAATAAAACAGTTTAAACTGCATAATTGTTTTGTCATGCAACTGCATTTACAGAAAAATATAATATCAATTTTTTTGATAATGCCTGTTAAAAATCCTGCCTCGTCTAGCTCAGATAAGTAAATTCTGTCTTAGGGATTTTACCATTTTTTCAATGGGGAGTGACACTGTGATATAGATATTGGGAATTTTGCATCACGAGAAGTTGAATTGGAAAATATTAATATGAATCATTGTGAAACTTAGATCATTGGCATCTTTTGTTCTGATTGGGTATATTATGTGTATTTACGTAGACACTCGTAGGAATAAGATTCAAAATGTTTCTGTTGGTTGTTTTTCACTTGCACGATCAGTTACTTTGTGAAATATAAGTAACAAGGTAAAAGAGAGGACAAAAAACAAACCTGAATGTCTACATCTGTAGATGAAACATCTACACAAATTCCCATGTGATGAAACCAGCTCTCTCAACTGTTGATCAGTGTAAGTAGATGGAAGATGTGCAAGGCATAGAAGTTTATTTGAACTTTCTACTGATACATCAAATGATCTTGATAAGTACTCCATCACATCCAACACATTGTCACAGTCTTTGAATTGAACTTTCACTAAAATGCATAAAATGATAAAATATAAAGTTAAGCTAAGTGATATAAGTTTTCTTAATGATACAAATGTAAATGCAACTTTAATAAATTACTGGTACAGAAGCATGAGGTTCAGTCTTGACAAGTATAAACTAAACTTCTATAGAGATTCACATATTTTATAAATGAGATATTTTTCTATTATAACTGAACACATGTAGGCTGCTAAAACTAAGCCTTTTAATACTTACATTCACACAGATACACTTACAAGCACAAAAAATAAAAGGATTATCTATTCTGTGTGTGTGTGTGTGTGAACTAAAGTATATACATGTATATGATTAAACTCTACAAAGTCTTATTTATTGTTATACAAATGTACTAAATACTCAATCAAAGTGCTTGTAAACACTGAAGGGTAAAGATTGCTTTAATTTATCAGTGGGAAGTAAAATTAAACATTGAATTGTAAAAACATAGGTTGTAGTTGATTCAACTACAATTATATATGGACAAAGGAAGATAACTCCAATTTTTTAAGATTACTTTAACAATGACATCATTGATATTTTTAGAACAGATATTAGATTATTGCACCTTGCACAAGATGTAATTTTCTTGACAACTATTCCATCATTTTGTAACTTGAATATCTGAGCATACATTTCATTGATAAATTTCTGGAAGTATTCATGGATAGCATGTTTAGAATGTAATGATCAATGCACTATATTTTGTGTATCTCAAAAGTAGTGATAAACCTTGGAAGATTTAGATATCAAGTTACTACCATTGGGTTTTGATTGCAATCTTTACCCTATAAAATGACTTTCCAACATGTACATATAATCCCTAAGTAAGTTGAAAATTACAAATTTTCTTTTTCTTTCAATAAAAACCAATGGTTGGTATAAATGTATGTGGAGATACAAGCATAAAAATTTGTAAGGGGTTCTACGGAACTCTGTGTCTCGCCTATGATTGCTGCTGTCAGTGTAAAAGTGTAATGTTAACTTAATAAGTGAGTCCATTTATCAGTAAAATACAGAATGTTAAAAATGATTCAAACTTTCTCTTTAAATGCTTTTTTTTGGTCTTGAAGATTAGCTTCTGTCCAAGTTTCATAACAATCCATGAAGGTTAACAAACTTATCATGTCAAAAAAATGTAATCCCAGACTGTCAGTAAATGTTAACTGTAAGAAAAGTCCATCTATCAGAAAAATACTGAAAATAAAAATATATTTTCAAAAGTGTGCTTCACACATTATCTCTTAATCATAAAAAAGTTTCATAAAATTCTATGAAGGTATGACAAAGTATTTGACGTGTAACAAACTTTAACCCGAGACTGTAACTATTTGTTAAATGTAAAAAAACAAAGTCCATTTATCAGTAAAATAGTAAAATGAAAATAAATATTTTAAAAATTTTGCTCTGGATACTGTATTTTGGTAAAACAAGCTTCTGTCCAAATTTCATCAAATTCCATGAAGGTTTGACAAAGTTATTGATGCCCAAAAAAACTTTAACCACAAGACTGAACCTAAATGTTGACGCCGACCACGGAATCTAGAATTGCTGTGTCTCGCTTTCGCGAAATAAATTTTGCATGCTCGACAAAAACCAATGGTTGGTATAAATGTATGTGGAGATACAAGCATAAAAACCAATGGTTGGTATAAGTGGAGATACAAGCATAAAAACCAATGGTTGGTATAAATGTATGTGGAGATACAAGCATAAATACCAATGGTTGGTATAAGTGGAGATACAAGCATAAAAACCAATGGTTGGTATAAATGTATGTGGAGATACAAGCATAATAACCAATGGTTGGTATAAGTGGAGATACAAGCATAAAAACCAATGGTTGGTATAAACATGATAAATGTATGTGGGTATACAAGCATAAAAAATTTACCTACTGCAATATTTATGATAATCTAAATACCTTGCTTATTTTGTTCATCAAACTCCAAAATTTTCACTCCATTTTCTGTCAATGTTCTAGCTAGCTGTAAAAATTTATATAACTTTAGAAATGCATGCATTGCCTAATATAAAAATATGTAACACTCTTCATTCTCGTCATTTTTCATGACTTTAAGTTTAGTTTGTTTCTATGTATTGCAAGCTGCAATCAACAATTTGTTATTTCTCTTCATATATTCAAGATTTAATTTTACTACTACATGTATTATATATGGAACCAAGTTTTAGAATTATTATGGGTCATATATGTTTGGGTTTTAGCCAACTTGGTTACACTTGAAGCAGAATTATCAGAGGTTTAATTGGTTATAGTTTTTAGTGAAATGTTTTCTTTTTCTAATGATGAGAAAATAGTATTATTTTTCTATATACAATTATTTTGTATTAAATAAAAGAAAACAAATGTCTGTTTACAACAGGTGGAAAAAACTGACGCTAGACAAAATATGACCTGATTAACAAATAAACCTCAGACAATTCTGCGTCTTTCAACACCTCCTTAATAAAAAAACTTTTATCTAACAATTGAGCTTGCACATAACCCTGTTCCTGTTTCGTTGCCATGTTGTAAGTCATATGATTTCCCGCAAATTTGTATAACTGATTACAAATAAAAAAAAATGAGGAAGAACATCTTGAATTTTATCTGTTTGTGTACTTATCAAAATGAGTCTATAGAGCTTATTTAACATACGATTTAATAGCAAACAAAATGAGTTCTCTGGGAAACTCACCTCAGATCAATCAGGCAGAGTTTTGTATCTGTACATTGATCAGTAATGAGCCAAATTTTTAAATTTGTTGTTTTTAGGTATAAATTATTATGTATTATATATATTAAACTACATTTTAAAACGAGAAAAAAAAAAACCTACCTAAAGATAGTGTTTCTTTGTTTACATTGAAAATGACATCATATATGCATTTTGTGAAAATATACTTTTTTGGTCTTTTGGAAAATGTTGTTGGTGCTGTATTTAGACCACTCTACCAAGACATTTGTTTTGAATGCACACGTATAAAAATTGCGGTTTTTATCCAACGCAATCATAGGTTTGAACGTTGTTTTCAATTTAGACTTGTTTATATTTTTCCGTTTGGGCTTGTATTATATTTGCCTTCGGGTTCATATGATCCGTTCATCCTATTTCGACTCTTCAAAATTCAAGAGTCAATCCTAAATTGAGGTCAATTATTATATGGCCTTCCAATACCGTTTCTATTCCTAACATCACTGAAGAGACATTAATTGTCGAAATCCGGATATGGTGTACAAATCTTTGCTCCTCATGTTGGCGGAATACCATCTATTCCGCAAGTTTATTGTTTTCTGTTTGGTACAAAACGTATTAAATTAATAATTAAGATCCATTTTTACATCTGGTGATCCGTTTATTTGGCAATTGCCATGGCAGTCAGCAGGGTTTAAGAACATCCGTTGTTCGACCTGCTAGTCAAGTGCGTTTTGTTAAAATATACTTTTTCACCTTTTTGGTCTTTTGGAAAATGATATTTGTGCTGTATTTAGACCACTCTACGTATCAAGACATTTGTTTTGCATGCACATGTATAAAAATTGCGGTTTTTATCCAACGCAATTATAGGTTTGAACATTGTTTTCAATTTAGACTTGTATATATATATAAAGCGAGTTTTGTAAGCAATAATATGACTATCTGTAGCTTTAGGAACTGTTTTAAAATATATCACTAGATATTTTCGTAATCAAGGATTTTTCTTGATAATTTGACATGCAGTGATGATAAGGACAGTTCCTATGAATAAAATAGCAGACTAAATATTCATGGAAGTAAATGGGAGTGGGTGGGTTTACCAGATGGGCGGAATTACCGGACACTACTGTACATGTTAAATTTCTAACAATAGGACCAACATCCGAAACGTTTCTGAAGATCAGTTACTTTCTTTTACCAGAAATTATCCTGGGAATTTTTTAAACAGTAAATGTTTATATATATATATAATAAAATTGAGAATGGAAATGGGGAATGTGTCAAAGAGACAACAACCTGACCATAGAGCAGACAACAGCCGAAGGCCACCAATGGGTCTTCAATGCAGCGAGAAACTCCCGCACCCGTAGGCGTCCTTCAGCTGGCCCCTAAACAAATATGTATACGAGTTCAGTGATAATGGACGTCATACTAAACTCCAAATTATACACAAGAAACTAAAATTAAAAATGATACAAGACTTACAAAGGCCAGAGGCTCCTGACTTGGGACAGGCGCAAAAATGCGGCGGGGTTAAACATGTTTTTTGAGATCTTAACCCTCCCCCTATACCTCTAGCCAATGTAGAAAAAACAAACGTACAACAGTACGCACAGTAAAACTCAGTTTAAGAGAAGTCCGAGTCCGATGTCAGAATAGGAAATAAAAGAAAATAAACAAAATGACAATAATACATAAATAACAACAGTATGGTAACTATATCCCTTCTTAATAAGTCTGTTTAAAGGTTTTGTTAGCTTTTGAGGTGAATATTGACATTTTTGTGCTTTGTAAAGAATATTACCATTAAAGATTGGATGTGAATATATTTACGAATGATGTCCTTATACCGATGATAAAATTTAGTAAATGTTTTGACTAGTTTATGATATCGAAAACCCTGGTGTAATAATTTTTCAGTAATACATAAATTTCTCTCGCTAAAATCTAATACGTTGTTACATACACGAGCGAATCGTACAAGTTGAGATATATAAACACCATAAGATGGTGACAAGGGAACATCACCATCTAAAAATGGATAATTAACGATAGGAAATGAAAAATCATCTCTTTTATCATAAATTTTTGTATCAAGCTTCCCGTTAATGATATAGATATCAAGATTGAGGAAAGGACAGTGGTCATTGTTAGTATTAGCTTCATTTAAAGTAAGTTCAACAGGATAAATTTCTTTAGTATACATACTGAAGTCGTCATTATTGAGAGCCAATATATCATCCAAATATCTAAAAGTATTGTTAAATTTTTGTATCAGATGTTGTTTCGATAGGTCTTTGCTGATTTTAGTCATAAATTGTAACTCATAACAATACAAAAACAGGTCCGCAATAAGTGGTGCACAGTTAGTCCCTATTGGAATTCCGATAACTTGACGATATACGGAATCTCCAAAGCGAACAAAAATGTTATCAAGTAAAAATTCAAGGGCAGATATAGTATCAAAGCATGTCCAATTGACATAGCTCTTTTGTTTGTTGCTACTAAAAAATGACCTAAAAGAGTTTGAACATATGTATTCGCATTCCGACTTTTTAAATGCCCATTTAATTAGGTGTGTGAATTTTTTCTTAATAAGAATATGAGGCAAAGTGGTATATAGGGTAGAATAAACTGTTATCACAGAGATATGTCTTGCCTTTTTGATAATGCAAGTGTTGAAATTAAAATAGCAATACTTTAACATGTAAGTTATGCAAATATTCAAAGTCAATGAACCATGACTGAAGGTACATGGCTAAACAATCTCCATGGAATGAGATGTGCCAATGCTAATACAACTGCATACCAAATACCATTGACTTATTATAAGTCGTTCCCTTTAAACAAACCTAAACACAAACATTAACTTGTAAACTATGACATAAAAGTTTCAAAGTCAATGAACCATGATCAGGGGGGGGGGCTATATAATCTCCACCGAAACCATACTTGCAAATGCCAATAAATTTGCATACCAAATATCATTGACTTAACATTAGCAGTTTATCTTAAACTGATCTAATCACAAACTAATACATGAAAACTAAGCAATATGTTGAAAGTCAATAGACCATGACTGAGGGGGCGGGGTCAAATATTCTCCATGGAAATGAGATGTGCTAATGCTTATACAACTGAACACCAATTAACATTGGCCTACCACTAACGGTTCCCCTTGAACTGACCTAATCACAAACTAATACATGTAAACTTAGCAAAATTTTCAAAGTCTATAGACCATGACTTAGGGGGCGGAGCCAAATAATCTCCATGGAAATAAGATATGCCAATGCTTATACAACTGCATACCAAATATCATTGACCTACCACTAGTGTTTCCCATAAACTGACCTAATCACAAACTAATACATGTAAACTAAGCAAAGTTTCAAAGTCAATAGACCTTGACTGAGGGGGCGGGGCCAAATAATCTCCATGGTGATGAGATGTGCCAATGCTAATACAACTGCATACCAAATATCATTGACCTACCACTAGTGGTTCACCATGAACTAGACCTAATCACAAACTAATACATTGTTGACGCCGTCGCCGGAAACAGCATACCTATGTCTCGCTTTTTGACTCCGTCAAGGCGAGACAAAAATCAAAACTTTGAACAGATTCAAAATCACCAATATATGCATGCAATTTATCAAGTACTTTCAACGAGTTTTTGACACTCTAAAAGTAGTTAATTCCACTATTTTCAAAGGCCTTATTTGAACAATTTATTATCAGGTTTTTGATTGTACCAAGTGAACTAGTAAGTAGAATAGACAATTTAGTAGTGGAACAATGACTTGAAGACGAAATAAATCTATATTTGTAAGGTGATTTGTGTAGCTTCGGAAGCCAGTACATAGTTGGGACTTTCATTGTATTTGGTTCTGCTTGTAAAGAAGTAGCTAATAGTTTATGTTTGTTACAGATATCGTTTTCTGAAAACGTTTTCTGAAAATGAAGTCAGTTGGAATGTTAGTGAATTCGTGATTTCCTTTTGCAGAACCTCAATGTAAAATTTACGTCAAACTATAATGATATTATTAGCAGCTTTATCAGCCGGGACAAAAACAAATTCTTTGGCTAGTTCTTTTAATTTATGTTTGATAGGATTTTTATGGTTGTTGTTAAGAGTAAAATGTTCTTTAAAATGATTTTTTGTCAGCTTTTTCCCGTTTTATCCATTTCAAACAGTAAGCACTAAGTGAGTCGTGGATGATATTACGACACTCATTCCAATAAATAATTGACGGGGGACAATATTTAGGTCCTTTACAGAGGAATGATTTTAACTCTCGGTCGCGAACGATGTTAAGGTCTCCTGTTATAAAATCTGCTTTTAACAGGATATCGTAAAGTGTTCTAAAGGTTTGCTGACTTCATCCCTATATATATATATGTTTTTATCCAACGCAATCATAGGTTTGAACGTTGTTTTCAATTTAGACTTGTATATACGTTGTTTTCAATTTAGACTTGTATATACGTTGTTTTCAATTTAGACTTGTATATACGTTGTTTTCAATTTAGACTTATTTATATTTTTTCGTTTGGGCTTGTATTATATTTGCCTTCGGGTTTATATGATCCGTTCATCCTATTTCGACTCTTCAAAATTCAAGAGTCTATCCCAAATTGAGGTAAATTATATGGCCTTCCAAATACCGTTTCGATTCCTAACATCACTGAAGAGACATTAATTGTCAATATGTGCAAAATCCGGATATGGTGTACAAAAACCTTTGCACCTTTTGTTTGCGGTATATCATCTTTTCCGCAAGTTTATTGTTTTCTGTTTAGTATTAAATTTAAAATTAAGATCCATTTATTACATCGGTGATCCGTTTATTTGGCAATCGCCAATGGCAGTCAGCAGGGTATAAGAACATTTGTTGTTCAACCTGTTAGTCAAATGTGTTTTGTTAAAATATACTTTTTCACTATTTTGGTCTTTTGGAAAATGTTGTTTGTGCTGTATTTAGACCCCTCTAACAAGAAATTTGTTTTGCATGCACACGTATAAAAATTGCGGTTTTTATCCAACGCAATCATAGGTTTGAACGTTGTTTTCAATTTAGACTTATATATATATATATATATATATATATATAATAGTTAATACAATTTACATGCGTTTTATTTCGTAACTGAGATGCTAAATGTAAGTCATTAAAGGGGCATATAATAATACTGGCTACATTAGAACAAAAACTGTTCTAAGCGGAAACTGGGACCTCATATAATTTAGGTCCTAGACTGAAACAATCACCTCGGTGAGGACGGTATTGACATTTTTCAGGGTGATTTGCTTATTTGAGTAGAACTGTTTTGCAGCAAATTCCGATCCATTCTGTTCAACATGGCTGGGTAGTTTATGTCCATTTATTTCACCACAGCATCCTGCATTTGTATGTTTTTCGATCGTCGTCGAAGAGCGGGAGTGCGACATGGACGTCGCCATTTTCAAAAAATTGTGTTCTAATGGTAACACTAATGACGGATAAAACCGAATCGGAATCCGGTTTTGTAATTCATTATGCAAGGCGGGTATTAAAAAGTTAAATCACGAACTGTTTTTCTCTTCCCTTCTGAAACAAATGATTATTTTTCTTCATGAAATTCAGAATCAAACCGTTGAATTTATATAAAAAAAAGAACATACCCTTCCCCATAAAACATGAATGGTTATTGAAAATGGACCGTGGCTACCGAGTTCGTAAATTCAACATCACTCCCGCCGGGTCTGATTTCTCAAGGAGTAACAATTAATGCCTGCCATCCGCAGTCAAGTTGGCCTCAGAAATCCTTGGATTAATACAACAACAAATCAAGTCCAAGTCTCTGAGGCCAACTACATGATTATTTTCCAGCCACTCTCTAAAAAAATACACCTTGATACTCCTTTACCTCTTTGAAAAACATAAATCTCCCCACTATGAAGTGGCACGAAACAGTCAAGATGAAGCAAAACCTCAAGAATACACACGATGAATGGTAAGACAAAACCCTACCGGACGAACATAACCACTGTTCACCAGCTGGAACATCTGGAAAAAAATAAAATACTATATGACTTACAACATGGTTTTCGATCATCTCGCTCCTGTGAAACTCAGTTAATATCATTTATTCAAGATCTTACAAATTCAAATAATAAAAACATTCAAACAGACATCATAATAATGGATTTTGCAAAAGCATTTGATAAAGTTTCACACCACCATCTCATGTATAAAATCGGTTTCTACGGTATAAATTGCAATGCATTACATTGGATTCAAGATTTTTTAACAAACAGAACACAAACAGTAGTCCTTGAAGGTGAAACATCAAATAAAATTCCTGTAAATTCTGGGGTACCTCAAGGCACAGTGATTGGTCCAATTTTATTCTTAATATTTATAAATGATTTGGCAGAATATATTGAACATAGTAAATTAAGATTGTTCGCAGATGCGTGACAGTATTATTTATAGGGAAATTAAAAAACCAGATGACACATATAAATTACAGTCTGACTTGGAAGCGGCCGGCAGATGGGAGCAGGACTGGCTCATGCATTTTCACCATGATAAGTGCAACATTCTCAGTGTAACTCAAAAACGCAAACCTTTAGACTTCACTTATAAATTACACAATCACTCTCTAGAAAAAGTTGACTCTACAAAATATTTAGGCCTAACTCTTCAATCAAATTTAAAATGGGACAAACATATCGATAACATGACATCAAAAGCAAATCAGTCTCTTGGATTTATTCGTAGAAACCTAAAAATAGCCTCACCTAAAGTTAAATCACATGCATTTAAAGCTCTTGTCCGACCAAAACTAGAGTACTGATCAACTATTTGGGATCCACATCAAAAACAGCAAATTTCACAAATCGAAAAAGTTCAGAGAAGAGCAGCGCGCTTCTCATGCAACCGCTTCCATAACACCAGCTCAGTTACTGAAATGATGACAGACTTAAATTGGTACCCACTTGAAAATAGGCGTTTACGATACAGACTTGTCTTCTTCTACAAAATTATACACGAAATTGTTGCAGTCCCTACATATAACCTTTTGATCCCACTAGACAATAGAACTAGACATAGCAATCCACACTCATTTAGGCAAATACAAACATCTAAAGACAGTTATAAATATTCATTTTATCCACGAACAGTTATAAATTGGAATCATCTGCCACAACAAATAGTATCATGCAGTACGGTACAGGGATTCAAGAGTATGATCTCAGAATCTGCTCTCATCCCCATTTTCTATCCCTAACTATTTTGTTATCAAATGTATATAGTTTTATCTAAATGGAATTTTCCAAATGTACATACATTATTTTGATTTTGTTTCTTTTTATTTTTCTTGCTACAATGTAAATTATAAAATTTTATAGTCGACGCCCGGCGAATAATCTTCAATAATTGAAGGATCGCTAGAAACTTAAAGAAGAAGAAGAGGAGCTGTAGTTGACCTTTTGCTTAACCAATGAACCATGAAAACGAGGTCATTTTCAGACGAACCCTGCCACACAGAAATGTACAATTTACAACCAATCCAGCCACCAAATGTGAGCAATCTATTGTTTATATAGGGTATATGAGAAACGGATTTAACAACGAATATCAACGTTGATCACTGATGCATAAAATGAGTCCAAGGTCAGGTGAACCCTGTCTGATTGGACGTGTAGACCTTGCCATGATACAATATAACAAATATAAAAAAATAATTAAGAAAATCACGTGATAAAGCAATTACAGTTTTTAAGTGGTCGCTGAACCGTGAAAATTAGTTCAATGACAACGGACATAAGCTGACAAAAACTTTGAATATAATGAAACCGACCGTGCAAGGGCTGTATAGCCAGTCAATGTCGTTAAAAACTTCCATTTGTTGAATATAATGCATCTGTATCTAGTTAGTCACGGTTCCTTATGGAATAAAAAGCTTTATACAAATAGTTTACGCTTTCCCCGCCTTCACATTCGTCTAGATGTACGAATTAACATCTTTGTGTAAGTTCCGACTACCACCAAGGAGGTTGTATGAGATAAAACCTCCTTGCTACCACTTTTTCTACAGTGAAATATGGCCTTCAAAAATAGTGTGATGAGGTAAAGTCAACCAGTAGTGTCAATCAGATGTTGACTCTTGAAAATTTTAATGATCTACTCTAAAATCTTCAGTCACTGTCTTTACAATTTTGCAGTAATATTAAGACTTTTGATTTTTCTACGCTCTACGCTACTATTCTCCATGCCCAATTGAAAGATCGACTTCATCTTCCCATGGCATTAAACAGTTCTTTTTCAACACAAATGGGAACCGTAGATAAATATTCCTCGTTTTAGGTGATAAAAATCTTAGTTCGTGATAACCACACCGACTCCAACAAGAAATACACTGAAGATGATATCATCAAAATGTAGTACTTTTTGATCGACAACATATTTGTTGAGTTTGGTGAATAGATATTTCAAGACAGTAGGTATTCCAATGCTACTGACACACCTGGTTTTGTACTCATATGAAGCAGAATTTATACAGAACTTTCTCAAGCACAAAACTTGAAGAAAAAGCATCTTGCAAAGTTCTTTATTTTCACCTTTCACTTTCAGATATATTGATGATGTCCTGTCATTAAAAAACTAGCATTCCAGTAAGTGCTTGCGTCTCATAACACAATGTTTCACTTTGCATTTGTGTAGCACAATAGACATAGGTAAAATGTTTGACCTTATCCAACATACCCTCAAGGCAGTCCAGATTTCCCGAACTTCATCCCGGTCGAACTACCTATTGTTAATTTCTTCCCGTCTTTAATATGCATGAAACATTTGCCACTTGGAGTTAAGTGAGCAAAAATTAACTATTAAAGGCATCCGTTTCGCAATGGATCGAGGTTAGGCATCCGTTTTGTTCTTTATATAAAATGTTGAATTGTATACAAAATTACTTACTAATGGTAGCTCTAATTGCCTGTGTTTTGCTATAAAAGGCATTACAACACTATAGAGCAAGCCTATTCAATTTAGTTTTTTTTCTTCAAAAATTGAAGGAGTGAACTCTATATTTTTTCTTCTTTTAAAAATGCTTTCAAAGATTGGAATGCGCTTTCAAATAGCACACAACAATACATGACCACGACGTATTCAAAGTTGCAGTAAAACAGCATCTAAAAAATATGTAAATGTGTATCTTTGCCTTTCCTTGTACACATATACTTAAATGAACCATTGGAAATAAACGGGAACGCTTTCATGTGCTTTCCTTGGAAGGATATCAACTTATACTTATTATAAAAGGTTACCATGCAATTCAACACTGTACTTAGACCTTTAAATATTGTTTTATTGGTATAAATATTGATTTTGTTATCAGTTAATTAAAACCAAATTAACATTATTATTATATACATATGCACATTCACGGTTCTACAATCTGTCGATACCTATATTTTAGAATTGACAAGGTCATGATTTTCTCTGACTGAAAATGGCGTCTTAACACAAAATTCCTTGGGATGTTGGATGTGTACTGATTGATATGTTAGTCATAGATACATGATTTTTTATTAGTTGTTATTGACTTTGAACTAGCTGCCAGTAACTGCGAGTACTTTCAGATCTGTTCTTAGTGTCTTTTTTGTTGTGGGGGATGTATAAATACCATGCCACGTCCGGTCTGTGATTTTGTTAGATGTGTTTTTGCTTTGTATCGATCTGATGACTTAAGCCCTTTTCGGCTGATTTTTATTGTTTGTTCATATGTTGTGAAAGGCTTAGTACAACATCTGTAGAGTAATAGTAATTGACCTTAAAATCGTTTGACGATAATAAAGCACACATTTTGACCCCAGATAATATACCCGCCATGTCATTACATAACACAGTAACTATATAATTATAAATACAGTCAAGGTAAGTTTCTTGCAGTTATATGCTCTAACCAAAAACAAGAAACAATACCAGATTTTTTTATTTCTAAAAAAAGATATTATTGCGCAAATAAGTTTACGCCCGAACTTGAAAGAATGGTAATTAGATATATGGCAAAATTTTCGCAGAAGCTCTTTTCTTTTTTTTAACAATTCATAGACATTTTTAGGAATAAAAATATCAATCTGTTGGCACCCATAGATACCGGATTTTCTCGCCTGATTTACACACAGTATGATATCCGAGCTCAATCATTATTGGGGATCGACGATAAAAGAAAAGAGAGTTTTGGATCATACTATTAGTCTTTAGTTTTCTATGTTGTGTCATCTGTACTATTATTTGTCTATTTGTCTTTTTATTTTTGGCCATGGCGTTGTCAGTTTGTTTTCGATCTATGAGTTTGACTGTCCCTCTGGTATCTTTCGTCCCTCTTTTATGAATACATGATCGTGACCTTTATCCATATATTAGATAATATGATAACTGAGAACTTCATTCGTATCTCTCAAGCGTCCTATTGACAGAAACATACTATTTGAAAACGCGTATTTAAAACAAAATAATAGTGTATTCAGTGTTCGAATCTGCATGAATATAGCCAAGAAGCTCAATGTACAAATAAAGACGTAGCAAAAATACAAGATTTAAAGAAGTTATGACAAGCTTATACCAGAACAATTCGTCAGAAAGTCAAATCAATTACAAAATGGGAGACCATTTAAAATCAAAAAAATATTTAAAAGTTGTGTCAAATCTGACTTAGACCTTTAATGCATAGGATAGAAACCTCTTAATGTTAGAATAATTGGAACATTTTATGAACCGTAAACTGAGGTACAGAAAATGACACCATCTATAAGCTGTCGTGTACATCTGAAGTGTTATCGACACAATGGTTGTAGTTTATCTTTTAGTATGCAAAAGCGCATTTCGTCTACATTAGACTCATCAGTGACGCTCGAATTAAAAAAAATGACAAACCAAATCAAATACGAGGTTGGAAAGGTTGAGTATGGACTAGGAAAATTATTTACCGTGCAATGGTGTTGTTAAAAAGTTTAAGAAAATTTAGTTCATTGTGCCAATGTCTGTGTTAATTGACATGCAATTACACTCATGTTGATTCACCATTTGCAAATATTCAAAATTTTCTATGTACGTGGAAAATAGCAGGTATAACGTGAAAGGTATCAATATTGCACCTATTTTGACAGTTTTTCACCTTCGTTTATTTATGACCCATGCAGACAAAAGTTTCTATTTTGTGTTTATTTTGTAGATGTATCCTTATTAACGATATAAGTAGTTCCACCAATTTAATTTTGAATCCATATTGAATCATAGAAAAATAGATTTGAACCGACCTTCAAACGATCCATGATTCTGTAATGAGGAGTACTCAAATTGCATCCATGCTTAAATTAAAACCCGTAAATATCGAATAACTGGTGTTTTGTTTTACTTCTCAAAATATTAAGAACAATTTGACAAAAGTTGACTTTTTGTGGACATTGCATGGCGATGTTTCCGTAGATTTTACTTTTTCCAGTGAATACCTCATGTGTTGATATATATATTGTCAACGTTTTGTGTATATTTGAATATGCTTAGCTATGTGGAAAGACGCGCATACTGCATAAAAGACAATAATGACAATTGTTATGAAGTAAGTAGTTTTATTTCATTTGTCTCTGTATATTTTTAAACTTTAATTTTTGGTAATATCCTTTTGGCGTGGCTCGGTATTTATACATCCCGCAATTGTGTTATTTTGCAATGGTCATGTTTTGTGTTCTTGTTTTTCATTTTTGCTTATTTGCTTTGTCTATAGAAAATCTATGTGTCATTTTGTTGTTCTTTGTTGACCTAGTTGTTTGTTTTTATAGTGATTACGATTATAACACAATGTGATTTCTGTACCCATGCAAGTTTTGTTATTTTTATCTATTATATGTCTGTCTGTTTTCTCACATATTGGTGTCAATATAATGGAGTTCTATGCGACTGTCATATGCGTTAGATGTTTAGCTAGCCACAAAACAAGGTTTAATCCACCATATATAAAATACATCTAGGTCAACATACAGTCAAATCGTAGTAAATTGTTTACTTCATTAACTTTTACAAATGCCTGTACCGTCAGGAATATGACATTTGTTTTCCATTCGTTTGATGTGTTTGAGCTTTTGATTTTGCCATTTGATAAGGGACTTTCCGTTTTGAATTTTCCTTGGAGTTCGGTATTTTTGTTATTTTCTTTTTTTCAGTGAGAAAGGAAACTGACAAAACAGCAAAAACATTCTTACACTCATTTCATCTATCAATATAATATTGTTAGAATTCTTATTTTAAATACGAATAATAACATAATTGTAGTTGTTAACATCCCTGTACATTTTGTACTGTGAGCTTTGGTGTATAATTGTCTCAACATCTACTCTTCTTATAATTGTCATGTCTTTTTAGTTGAAAATTATAATGAAGACCAATCCCTTACTTTTTATATGCCTTTGTATTGTACGGACTGGTCATGGGAATGATGTCAATCACGATACGTGCACAAAAGACAATAATGACAACTGTTATGAAGTAAGTAGATTTTTTTTTTCATTTGGTGCAGCATATCACAAGAGAAACTTAAAGTTTGAAAAACAAGAACAATAAACCGTGAGTCCTAGAAGATCATTGATCGATACTCTTTCCTATACTCATTCCAATAAAAAGATGTTTGTTTAAAACACATTAGATAATTGTACTTCCTCCTGGCGTTAACACTATACTAAAATACTCGAAACTAAGATCAGACATTCGAGAAATTTCATACCTACACTTTTTACAGAAGATAAGATCGTAATTACTGTATAAATAAGATTACTTGTATTATATATATATATATATATATATATATATATGTCTAAATTGAAAACAACGTTCAAACCTATGATTGCGTTGGATAAAAAACCGCAATTTTTATACGTGTGCATGCAAAACAAATTTCTTGTTAGAGGGGTCTAAATACAGCACTAACAACATTTTCCAAAAGACCAAAAAAGTGAAAAAGTATATTTTAACAAAACGCATTTGACTAACAGGTCGAACAACAAATGTTCTTAAACCCTGCTAACTGCCATTGGCGATTGCCAAATAAACAGATCACCGATGTAATAAATGGATCTTAATTAAAAATTTAATACTAAACAGAAAACAATAAACTTGCGGAAAAGATGATATACCGCAAACAAAAGGTGCAAAGGTTTTTGTACACCGGATTTCGACATTTCAGTGATGATGTTAGGAATCGAAACGGTATTTGGAAGGCCATATAATTTACCTCAATTTGGGATTGACTCTTGAATTTTGAAGAGTCGAAATAGGATGAACGAATCATATAAACCCGAAGGCAAATATAATACAAGCCCAACAAGTCCAAATTGAAACCAACGTTCAAACCTATGTTTGCGTTGGATAAAAACCGCAATTTTTATACGTGTGCATGTAACACAAATTTCTTGATATAGGGGTCTAAACATCACTGAAGAGACATTAATTGTCGAAATCCGGATATGGTGTACAAATTTTTGCACCTCATGTTTGCGGTATACCATCTTTTCCGCAAGTTTTTTGTTTTCTATTTGGTATTAGATTAAAATTAAGATCCATTTTATTACATCTGTGCTCCGTTTATTTGGCAATCGCCATGGCAGTCAGCAGGGTTTAAGAACATCCGTTGTTCGACCTGCTAGTCAAATGCGTTTTGTTAAAACATACTTTTTCACTTGTTGGTCTTTTGGAAAATGTTGTTTGTGCTGTATTTAGACCCCTATACCAAGAAATTTGTGTTACATGCACACGTATAAAAATTTCGGTTTTTATCCAACTCCCTTGATCTGTATACCGTTTGGAATAACATTATTATAGGTTTTTTTATTTCCAAATCTTAATATAATTTGCTATTCATTTTATCGTTTGTATTCTTGCAGTCCATAGCTAGAACAGAAAACTGCAATTATGACGTCCTTCCACTATCTAAAACATTTGGTGCCAGAATTCAAGGAATTGACCTTAAAACAATTTCTAACGAATGTGCAAGGAATCTTCGAGAGGAAGCATATATGTACAGATTTTTATTGTTCAAAAATCAGACTCTGCCTTGGCAAAAACAAATTCACATTACCTCTTTGTTTGGCGCGCCGTTTCAAGAAACGTCTTCTATTAATAGAAAGAAATATGATAAAAATCTAGATCCACGTATAGGAATATTTTCTAATGACTACAAAGCTGGACTTGTTGGCATTGGAATAGAAGGTTGGCATGTAGACGGAAACATATTTGAGATGCCACATTTGTTCACTCTGATTTACTGTGTTCATGCCAATTCAAACGGTCCAACTCTCATTGTTCCGCTTAAAGAAATTGTCGACATGCTTTCAACTGCAGAGAGAGAATATCTTGAGAACATTTTGTTCGTTAGTGCATTTAATTCCTCTGTTCACATACCTCTTCTTTATAAACATCCCTTTAGAAATGATGACACACTGATGATAGCATTGGGAACGTTATCCGGTCAATATTTACAGCTTAATACTGATAACAATGACAACCCGTATAAACAGTTGTCAGTAGAGGAAACAAAATACATTCAAGATCTTTTTCATGCTAAAATTTTAGCTTCTAATTTGATTTATTCTGTAAACTATGACCCAGGTGATTTTCTAATGATACACAATCCTTCAGTTGCACATATAGCCGGACCAGGTACTCAGACTCCATCGGAAATATCCGGACTTCGTCTTATACATAGATCAACAGTAACAGGAGAGATAAAACCAAGCAAATCAACCAATATCCAGTACGAATGTAATTCCTTTCCACCGTTTGAAGACGAATATTGTTTATTTTCCCTGAAGGGGTCCGTATATTATCCTCGGATAGGTTACTATGATGATCAAACTACTGCCCGAAATAGGTGCAAGAATATAAACAAGTATTCAGACCTGGCCAACATATATTCAAAAGACTGGAATGACATTGCAACAAAAATAGTATCCAAAACAAAAGTACCTCATTGGCTAAATGCAACTAATCCACAAGGCACAGACGTATATTGGGATGGGAACAAAGGATTATTTAGTAACTGGGATCCCTCTAGTGGACAACCAAATGACCATGATGGAATTGAGGACTGTGTTGTAATAGGGCCCTCGGGTTATTGGTTCGATCTTCCATGTTGTGGACCAAAAACTGCACCGGGGACTGATCGAGCACCAGTTATGCTTTGGGACGGAGAGAGAACTATGCGTAATGTGTATCCGTTGTGTGGTATACACAAAAAGTATTTATAGAATTCAAATCTTATTTGATACATGGATAAACTACTACAGTTAAGTTATAATATTTTGAATACAACTACGACATACTACGCTTAAACTGCTTTGTTATCATTATATTACTGCATTCAAACATTGCATTTGGCATTTTTTTGGGTCGAAAACCAATTCCCTTAGTAATACTTTGAAACAAGACTGAAATGGTTTTTTTCTAATATCTTATATATGATTATTCATTATATGTAATTTACCCCCGACCAGACTACCTCTGTCAACAGTAATGAAGTAATCCAGGCTTGCATAAAAAAAACAAGACACCTCGAAATCCAAAGGTAAGTTTGCACAAGTGTAACCATATTTTGGTTGTAAACTTGTATTTTGAAACCAAAAAGTATTGCTAGCATAACTTCGGACCCCCTCCCTACCACGATCACCCTTGTAAAGACATATCCCAAACGATGATCGACCTAAATTACTGGAGACAAAATGGAAACCATACACCATCACCATAAAGAGAAGAAATATAAATTCCACCATACAGAGAAATATGAATTCTACATAATGTCTCTACATCTATTATATATATAACTTTATATTTCCCTCTTATGAAAGATTTTACTTCTGCACAATACATTAACATTTTTCAATTATAATAGAAAAACAAAGGATATGTTCAAATATGATTTTTCTTTCTTTCAAACAAATCCGTTAATTGTAAAAAAAAAAAATAAAAAATAGAGACGAAATCAAGCGGATAATCGAAAATCATAAGTCCAGTAAAAACAGACAACACCATAGCCAGCAATAAAAAAGGCAAAGAGACAAACAATTATAGCAAAACATCACCAATACAGTTGATCACATTTAACACAATACAATGGTTCGTTCTCATATTTCATCAAACAGCACAAGTCTATGATGTATTTAGATTCATTGTGTAACATCTTGGAAATAGTCATATACTGTGTATTTCGATTTGAGGATTATCAATGTAAACAACAAAAAGTCTTCATCCTCTGTCATTCTTTATAATTTGCCCTTCTCGATATTTGTCCATTATTGTTCATAATTTAAAAGCTTCAATATGATACATTGATAATTGTAAATTTCCAGTTCTTAAAAACATGCACTTAACTGCTGTGCCAAACCTATATATTTGGTTGTTACTCCCTCTTTAGATGAGTTTGACTGTTTTATTTATGGTCGGATGACGGATGGTTGTTAAACGTCCAGTGTCAATACACTGCATATTCAAGACGAGAACATGATAATGTGAAATGAATATGAACCCTGCTTTGTATTAGACCGGGGATGATCTTATGTGCTCTTGATGGGTACTTTGTATTAGACCGGGGATGATCTTATGTGCTCTTGATGGGTAAGAAGACCCTGCTTCCTTAATGATATCCGTCGTGTTACTTGTGATCAGTACACATTCGGTGACGACTCTCATTCTGTAATGTTACAATCGAGAAAAAGAGGACGGGATTGCGGTTACGACAATTGGAATACATGCATCGTTGGTTCTCTCTGTGAATTATGGCTTCCTCGACCAATACAAACTGGCCGCCATGAAATAGCCAATAGTGGCGTTAAAACATCAAACATTAATCAATCAATCATAATAGGCTTAAAAAGACATGACCTTGTGCAATGCCAAAATACAAGTTTCGACAGGTTACTAAGGACCGTAAGTATTCAAAACTTCAAAACCAAATCTTTGTATCCATGAACAAATTTAGTAAAGGTTTAAGTTCAGTTTTCAAACGACTTTACGTAATAGCATAAAATAGTTACATTTGACATTTGTACAATAATTTAATCATGTAAAACGTACACACAAAAAAAAACCGGTATCTTTAAATATTAGTTCAAGAGGGAAAAAGTAAATAACTAAATGACATGCTGAAAAGCATATACAAAATATAAACAAAAAGGTCTGAGTCTGAAATATTTTCATTCAGTCCAATATTTCATTTCAGACATATATCCATTTTAATCAAATGTCAGAAGTCCATCAAGCACATCTGCGTTTCCTATAGACTGAATGTTCAACCAGATCGCAATTAGTCAATAGATGTCTATGCTGGTTAAATTATTATGTTGTCTCGCTGACATTTAACAAATATTTTCGTATTTTTGTCTATCAAATAGTGTGTTTATACCCCAAGATTGTAAGAATAGTGAAAAATGTTTAAAACTCCAAGCAATATTTAAAAAAAAAAACAACAATGGCTTTTAATATTGTCAACATTAATGGCAAATGTAATCCACTCATCCCCCTTTTCAATTGTAACTGGACCCGCTACTGATTAAGTTTAAGCGTACTCAATTATGACATTGAATGTTAAATGTGTGTGTACTGACTTATATACATTAGTCTAAGATACATAATTTTTTTATTAGTTGTTATTGACTTTGAACTAGCTGTCAATAACTGCGGGTACCCTCAGATCTGTACTTTGTGTCTTTTTTGTTGTGAGGGATGTTTATATAATAAATACCCTGCCACGTCCGGTCTATGTTTTTGTTAGATGTTTTTCTGCTTTGTATTGATTTGATGAGTTAAGCCCTTTCCAACTGATTTTTTTTAAAGTATGTTCTTATGTTGTATTTTAGTTTAAACAATATTTTATTTTCAAAAGTGCTCAAAATACAATTATACAATAGAAATACTGGGATTCGGAAACAAGAAGAACTTATATAAATCCGTCCCCCTTTAAAAACAAATGACAAAATTAGGAACATAGTATAAGAAACTCGTATAATATAATTTTCAATTCACATTACATGTTTATTCAGTGGTTTGCCCGTTACTCAGAAGTCAGTTTGATCGAAAAATGTTATCAACTCATTTTTTTTTATAATTGTGGTCTCACATGTAGCTGTGAAATATGTAAATGTTTCAAAAATAAGGTAAATCAAATTAAAGTTTCAACATCTAAATCGACATAAACATAATTGTTTATGAACCAAATCTCCCTGTTTCTAACATAAAACTTTGTACAACTTTAAAATATTTTCATTTTCCTCATCACTGATGAGTTCACTACCTGATAATAATGTTTGTATTTTATATCTTGGTAGTGTAGAAATGGTTTGTGTCCTGATGAGTCTATAAATATGACATTCTAGCAGATAGCGTTTGCTGCTCTCAACCTGTCCACATATACAGAGGCTGGAAAGAACAATATTTTTCTGGAAAAGGTGTTCATTTAAGCCACTGCAGTTCAACCGGAGTCTGACGTGAAGTATTTGGCCTTTTCTACAACCAGTATTATATATATATATGTAGGGACTTTCTTAATATCTCGATTTATATAATTTTTAAGTGTAAATTTAGATGGATTACATCTAACATCTTGTGGAAGGCTGTTCCATTCACGAATAACAGATGGTAGGAAGGAATTTTGATAAAAAGTAGTTCTGCAGTTCATATTTTGAACATTAAATGCCCTTCTAGTATTATAGTTATAGACTTGATAAAGTTGTTGAGGTACGAGACTACAAAGATAATTAGGAGCTTGATCATGTTGTATTTTTACACCACTGTCCCAGGTTAAGGTGAGGGTTGGTACCTTCAAACATGTTTAACGGCGCAACATTCTTTCTGTGCCTGTCCCAGGTCAGGAGACTGTAGTTCAGTGGTTGCCGTTGGTTCATGTCTGTCATTTTTGTTTTTCATAAATTGTTTTGTTATAAATTAGGCCGTTATATATACGAGCACGCGAGTTAAGATAGATCTGAATTTTAATCAGATTTGTATTTTATTTAATTGTAATTCGAAAAAAATCGATGTTAATCTTTACAGGGTTCCAAATCTTTTTGAAACAAAAATTCCTTAAGTTTCTCAGGATTTCTCCAGAACTCGCAACTATTTTAAAGTGGTATCAGAACAGAAAGAAAAAAAACATAACTAGATTACTTTTGACTGTAAGACGAGAACAGTTAAAGGGGCATTAGCTGTCAAATTAATGTCCAATGATTTGACTCAAATTCTCATATTTGATTTACAACATACTAAAACGTATATACATATTACAAAATGTCTAAAATAAACAATCAACAATGCATGGACTCGATAAAATTTATCAAAATTTCGTGTGATTTTTTTTCTAGACATCATCTAATTAACCATCGAGATGACCTCCGAAAGACTACCGACGGTCATATTACCCGATATAAACATAAATATAAATATCAAATATAAATAGATAGCGACCTCGTGCAACTAGATTTTTTTCTAGGTCTGTTTGATTTCATATTGTAGGTTGAAAAGTTTTTACCTGTATAAGAATGATTTTTAGTGGATCGAATCAGTCAACCAAATGGTTCACCCTTGTTTCACTTTCAATGTTGACATTCTTTTTCCTTTAATAGCTGAATACATGCGTACCCATGTCCTGCTAATGGGTTAAATTGAAGGTCACATGAATACGGATTCAATGAAGTCGAATTATTCACTTGCAAGCCAATAATTCATCAGCGATGATTTTTAGCTCAGTGTGACAAAAATTGAACAAAATTGGCTTCTAAAAGCAAATTATTATTTCAGTATCTTACTTTCATTATTGATTGAACAAAAAAAAACAAATATTTTATTTTATTTTTTTTCACATCTCGTAGTTAATGCGCCTTTAAGAGAATGATTTTGTTTTCACAAAATTAAATGTAATGTTTAAAACAGGGAAAAAATGAGGAAAATAACTATGTAAATTTTCACACTGCAACTTCCCTAACCTGCATGGTTTTTTAAAGTCACATATTTTTTCATGTGGCATTGTAAATTACCAATTTTGATTTCAATTTTGTATGTTTTATTATGATTTTTTTTTGTTTTTTTTTTTGCTAACATTGGTAAAGAAATAGTTATAAATTCTACGTATTAATTAGTTTTAAAAAGGCAAACAACATATGATAACACCTGACATATGTTGATCCTTTAAGAGTTCTGTATAGTTTAATCTATGTTTACTATATTTTATTATGGTGTATACGTAGTAATTATAGCAGACTAATAATGTTGTGCTATAGTTTTTTTCAGTTGTAATTGTATGTATCAAATAATCTGCTCCTGTCGTCTAGTGTTTCGGCTAATCA